AATATCTTTATTTATTTATATTTTTTGGGGTTCATTACTTTAAAAAGAAAAACTAATATTTATATTAAAATATTGTATTTAACATATATATTAGTTTTTTTTTTTAGTTATAAACCTCCAAAAAATGTATACAAAAATGTAGACAAAAAATATTTACACTGAAATAAAATATAAGACAAATATATTTAAATTATTTATTATACAGTAATACATACATAATGTGTTAATAAAGATCAATTGTAAGTGAAATGAATACTAGTTTCCCCACATTCTTGTAAAAATGGACCATACTTTGATGGGCGTCAGTGTTTCCTATAAAAACAAAACAAAAAGTGTACATATATGTTATTGAACAATTTCTCTTATCAAAATGTTGACCATTTTTATAAAACTAAGTTATTTTTAATTATTTGACGAAGATTGAGAACGACGCAGTCAACATATCCAACAATTTTGTCATTAACTGTATCAAAAGTGAGTTTTTCGGTTAGAGCTATTTCGTCGAACATTAAAATACAATTCCTATCAATTTCTGGCATTTTTCTAACAATTTCTTTAAATCTGGAAAACACTGAATCATTTATCCCCGTTTCAAAATGTAAATCACTTAAAATTTGTTGGATAGTAGATTTACTAGGCAACGAAATACATTTTCTTAAAAAATTATATGCTCTTGGACCATTTTTATATAATGCTAAAGAAAAAATTTTATTCTGAGTGGTCCAAGAGGGTTTCTTTCTCTTACAATTTTCTAAACTACTTTTAAAGAATTTAATTCCAATCGGATCTAATTTATTATTAAAATCTGAAAATAACTGAGTTTTGGATAATTCAAAGGCTTTCCTGATTTTATTTTTGGAAACACATAGAGCTTTCTTTAGCTTACAAATTCTAACGTTTTGTTCTCTATTAATAAAATACAGCTTTTTCTCTTTGGGACTTAAATTTTTGACTTTACTTTCATTTATTTGTTGCAAAACAGTTTTTCTCCGTTTGGAGGGTTGTTCAAATTGTACATCACTAATATTTAGTTTACGTTTGCAACTAATTTCTTGATTTTCGTTGCTGATTAGCAAATCTATCTTATGCTGCTGTGTTTGTGCTTCAGCCTCAATATATTCTGAAATCTGGCTCTCCGGTTGTATATTTGAACTGGATGCATAATTATCTAAAGAAATTGGTACAGAATGTACAACTAGTCGTTTACGTTTTGAGGAAACCTTACTAAAAGACTGGCAAAAAATGATCTTCACAAAGATAGCGAGTATTATTATCATCTAAAGTTAAATTCTTAAACCAGTTCTGGCGAACTTTAACATCAGAAGGAAAATAAAAAAATGCTTTATTTGAATAACCAACTTGCTGAATATTAGAATAATACTTATTTAAACAATTAGGAGCTGAACAAGAATACTTAACTATACCCGGGCCAGACATTTTTGTTTCAAATATTAGAAAAGGAATTGTTGAAATATGAAATTAGATACCTATATATCGTTAAGGCTAAGAAAACAATGATAAACAAAGTCCTTAAATACTTAATATTAAATTAAAGTTAATACTTACTAATTACATCAAATCAGCACCGTTTGTTTCTTAACCTAAAAATAACTTACCTACCTATGTAACTTACATCATAAAATAAAAATAAGTTTTATTTTATCATCATATCCCGCCTTCCGCCATCACGTTTTTCATTTTTTACAAGGTTGTCAATCCCGTCTTTTAAAAATCTCAGCAATAGTATGGACTTTAGGTTCTTTCGTTCGTCCCACTGGTGTAGGAATGAACTACACCAACATACACTAAACCTTTCGTTCGGCCCGGTGTAAAATCCACTAAACCTTTCTGTCGGCGATGTGGTGTCCACTGGTGGATATTTTCTCCACCAGCTATTTAGTAGGAGTGAATTACACTCGAAATGTGTATAAGGAATAAGGAGGGAAGTAAACTAAGGTAAATAAGGTGGTGTAACTGGTGTAATTTACACTGGTGTACACTGCACCAACAGCGAACGAAAGAACCTATTGTATGGATGGTATGGTCACAGAACACTTACTCTTAGAACGGTAACTCCCATGTTAAAAAAGGATGATAGAGTTTTTAGCGGCACCTGGTGGACGTGGTTGATTTTTTTTCAATTAAGTCCTTGTCTGGTAAGAGGCCATATGAAAGAAGAGAAAATAATAAAAAGAAGAAAAGCGCGGGGCTATTCAAATTTGACAGTAAAAATTATCCGCATTAAAAACTGTTAGCCAAATTAAGATTTGTTCACACAAATTGCATTTTTGCTTTATTATAGCGAATATCGCTATAATAAAGCAAAAATGCAGTTTGTGTGAACAAATCTTAATTTGGCTAACAGTTTTTAGATAAAAAAAACAAGAATATTCAAAAAATAAATTTATTAAAGAATATATATAATACAAATCCAATATTTAAAAAATGTAATGTATATGAAAATTGTATTATGTATGAAGTAGCTGGATGGCTGCTACATATTCCAGGATACAACACTGTCCATCATTTTGTGAAGAACTTTAGCTGTGAAAAAAGAAAGACAGTATAAGTACAATCTCATTAAAATAAATGTATTAATAAAAAATTATAAGTCCGAGGAATACTTTATTTTTTAATAAGTCCAACATCTACGATACAGCTTTGCAACCCCAAACGTCATGAAACACAAATTTCACAGTATATGCAGCGTTTAAGAATCCACATCGGATGCAACTGAGATGTAGTAAATCTTTGATCACGTGATTCAATTTACGTAAATGTAATGGGACAGATGTGTCCGATTTAAAATAAACTATTTGAGGCGCTGTTCTCCACATCTCGGCAAATGGACTAAAATAATAATTTATAATACTCTTAATATTACCTTATTTTAATTATTGTGCCACTATACTGTATTTGCTCAACCAGAATGAGTTGCAATGATTGCAAAAGTTGCAGAATAGAGGCCTGAGGATAATACTGAGCTGTTCGAGATTGGAACCAATCAATTCCATGTTGAATGTGCTTCAGTGGTTGACTGTTAAAAAATATTTGCTATTCTATTCCCTGCTTTTTATATTTAAAATTAAATCAGGAATCTCCAGAGTATATTTACAAAATATTTTAAGTTATAATCAGGATGTTCATGAACCTAAACAGGTAACAAGAAAAATGTGTTTTTTAAAGGTGTACAGGCTTTTAATAATTTGCCTGAGGATATTAAATGTTCTTCAAATGTGGCAATATTTAAAATAAAACTGCATGAATACCTGTTCACCTATTGACGTTTTTTTTTCTCTTTCTTGTTCTTTTATTGTTTTGTATAGTTGACATGTAAGTGTACTGTATCTTATGTATTTTTTATTGCATTTTAAATGTATGTTGATTCTATATTTATGTATTTTTTATATTTTAAACGTGAAGATGTATTGACATGTAAAAAATAGTTTTTTTGACTAAATAAACGTTTTATATATAGGTATGTGGATAAAAAACGCTCGAGATGTAAAAAATGCATCTGATGTGGATTCTCAAACACAGCAATAAGTATAAAATAAATAAGTACTAACTTTCCTTCTCGAAAAGAAGTCCAACATATATTATTAGTCTGCTTCTTCTTCTACGATACAGCTTTGCAACCCCAAATGTCATGAAACAGAAAATACACAGTATAAGTATAAAATAAATGAGTAGATTACTAACTTTCCTTCTCGAAAAGAAGTCCAACATATATTATTAGTCTGCTTCTTCTTCGAACCTTTACTTGAAGTAGAAGGTGTTTGATCAACATATTCAATTTCTACGTTATTTGAGGAAAGTCCATCCGCTACTCTTCCAGGAACTGCTGGTAGGAATAGCGTTGGAAATGCTTCAGGTGTTAGACCTCGACGAGAGCCAACTACTTTATACTTCTCTTCAAAATGTTTATGACATACTACAAAGGTGGAATAAATTTGTAGTCTTGTTTTATTATTAAATCTTGGACAACAAACAGCAAGTGCACAAATATCAAATAAATCGGGTGAATTCGTAGGGTGAGGCAGGCGATGCATCTTGTTGTCCACAACAAGGCAATTCGGTACACAGTTTCTATAATTACGCATCTTTATGAAAAACCACAAAATAACAGCGGAAAAAGCACAAATTTGTAATGGAAAAACAAGCTTATTAACAGTGGTCAACTAAATCAATTAAGCAAATTGGAAATGAAAACAACTGAATACAACTGAATACAACAGTCACCAATATAAATAAACAAAGTTTATGTTTGGTTTAAGCCAAGACGCCATGACACCCCCACAAAAATCAATATTCACCTGTCATTTACACTCCCACCACCTACCCCACCACCCGACTGCAGCGCCACGCGGACGTGGTTGATTGATCCTTGACCTGCGCATACCAGTTTCCCACCCCTGGGTATGGTCACAGGGTATGGTGCGCATGTAGATTGATAAAAAATTAAAATAAAATGAATTTGAAATAACTATCATCTCATGAAAGTTTACGGAAACCGGCAACATCGCTTTCATACTATTGCGATGGTGGCGCTAACTAATAGTATGCTGGGAACTACGCCGTGTTGACAGTGGCGGGCATTTAATAAATTCATCTTGTTTTATATTAATTTATCGGTATTGAATGGGAATTATTCATTCTTCTTTTTTGAAAAGCATTTAGACTAAACATCTATGTGCTATAAGCAAAATCATATAATTATTCTTCTTGATGTTCTTAGAACACAACGTTGCCAAACTTCACGGACTAATTTTCTAGTACTGTAGTTGTAGCCCTATTAAATTTATAGTCGGACTATTTCTAAGACTAGTAGAATATGGCTGGACTATAATTTAGAGTCTACATGTTTAGTATGCTAAACTTATAGTCTCTTTTATAGTTCCTTAGTAGAATAACCCTGCTGGTCATAAATGACCAACCTGACAACGCTGCTTTTGTTGACTAGTGACGTTAAAGGTGGAGCAAGAGGGGGGTTTAATTTATTAAAAAAAAAGAGATTTGTATCTGTGTCATTTTTGGTGAAAACTTTTTATTTTAAAGTGAAATTTTATATAATTGTTAGCAACAACCTGGCATTTTGCAGAACTCTTATCGAAATCGTTATAAACTCCCTACATTGAAAATTCTGTTATGTTACCAGTGAACATCACAAAGCTATATTTCGTTTGGTTTTCTGGTCAAAGTTTTTAATAATTTAGTGTTAGAATCATGGTTAAATTATATTGCATTAGTATTTTATACAAAGGGAGTTCGTCAGCGACTTGGTTAAAATCTGCTTTTGACTTACAAACTTTTAGTTTTTTCCAAAGAGGATCTGTTCAGGAGTTTATGACATTCTTTTGTAAAACTATAGTGGAACGAACTATACCAGCTTCTAGGCAATCTGTTAAGGAAGGAGGTGAGAAATGAGGGGATAGTGATTTTTACGATAACTTGAGTAAATATTTTGTTTTTTAGAATATTTGTGTCATGTGTATGTTAGACATGACAACTTAGCTGGCGTTGTAATATCAGACCATGAGTATCCTTCTAGAGTATCTCATACATTGATTACAAAGATATTAGATGAATTTGCTGCAAAAATTCTACCAGCAAACTGGCCCAATTTACAAGAAAAGGATGTAGCTTTTCCCCAATTAAATACATACCTTGCCAAATACCAAAATCCTAGAGAAGCTGATGCTATGACTAAAATACAGGAAGATCTTGATGAAACGAAAATTATTCTGGTAAGATTTAACTTTAAAATTGGATTTTGAGTTTTATATAAAATTGTTTTAGCATAATACAATACAGGCTGTGTTAGAAAGAGGAGAAAAATTGGATGATCTGGTAAATAAATCGGAGGGTTTGAGTATACAATCAAAGGCATTTTATAAGACAGCAAGAAAAACAAATAGTTGTTGTAGCTTCACTTAAAGGAAAATTAAACCATTCCCCATAAATGTATACATTTAGAATATTTTCTAAAGTAATTTATGGTGTAATTTTGTGTTAAACAGCTTTATGCATACCTATGTGACTATATATTAAATAAGGACAGGGTGATATGCCTATTAAACTGTTATTAAATGTATTAGTGTAAGAAAATTACCATAAAATTTCCTTGTGTTATATAAAACAGCATGTGGTTGCAAAGTTCATATAAAATTAAATGTTAAAATATTTTTAAATGGCAAATAATATGTCAATGTTTATTATAATAAATGTTCATTGTATTTTAGTTTATTTTAATCACATAAACGGTTTTCTTTTTATAATTTAATGAGAGCAAATATGCGTTTTTTTAATATAAGTTATATATACTTTTTGTAGAAAGTAAGTAAAGGTTGTGTTAAAAATTTCTTAATATTTTTTAATATGTTTTCTCTGATAGGATGGTTTTTGTTTATAGAAATCACTCAATTTTTGGTTTAAACCTAACATAGTAAATACAAATGTGAGCTAGAGTCTTGATAACATCTGAAGAATCTTAATTATCACTTTCACTAATATTGTATGTCTAATAACCTAAATCACAAAGCATCTTTAAATATTTACGGACCTCTAAATCCTCCTCAAAGATTGAAACGTCAATGGAGAAATAGAGATGTATATCCTGATTTTTCATTCACAATGAATCAGGATCATATCCATTTTAGCATAAGACAAGTTGTTACCGTCCATTTTAGAGAAATCATGTAAAGAACAAAAATTTTAGAGAATAACACAATTTTCTTAAAAGTCGAATTTTGTACTTTTTGTCAATTTTCTTGAATACAGACCATTATTGAGAGTGATACCACAAGCAACTTTAATTTGACGAATTTTCTTCTTCAAGCATAAATAACATATTCCTTAAAGTACAAAAAGAACCCCTGGAGATGTTCCAACTATGCCCAAAATCTAAACAACTCATTAGACGATGGATTAAAGCTCAAGTTAAAATTTAGTGGTTTTCTCTTGATCGTTTTTCGGTTATCATGTATACATCACCATGAAAATAATCAAAACATTTTCAGGGGTCTCCAAAACGTAAAAATCTGTCGAAAAAATCATGATTCCTATACTTCCTTCTGTATACAGACAGGAAAGTAAAAATTATTTGTTTTGGTCTATAAAACAACACATATAAGACTTCATAATTTCTCGAAAATCTTTTACCTTTCAAGAGATTCTTAAGTTTTAAAAATAAATAATATTCCGATGTTGCAGGGGCATTATCTTGCAAACTTAGAACCTTTGAAAAGTTTTTGCGACACTTTTCCACAATTTCGATTTTATTATTTTGGAAATTTTCTTAAAATATTGAACAAAACTTTTTATCACGAAATATTCTTTAATTTTTGATTTTGAAATGAAATACGTTTGCAGTTTTAACCTTTACTTAAAACAATAATAAAAACATTAATTTTTATAGGAATTTGCCTTATGTTTTGGTAAGAAATTAAAATTTTCTGGAACTGGTCCAAGTAGCATTTCACTTATTTTTATCCAATCAGAAGCAGAGGGAGATGCCATCAATGTTTCCAATTCGTCTCGCCCCTTAAAATGGGGTGGTCTTTCATTGATTTTTTGAGGAGGACTTTCTAGGATTCCTACGGGGATGTATCTATATAAGAAAGAGAGCCATTCTAACAAGAATCTTCTAGTATTTTCAACACCTTTGTTATCTGAACCCCAATGTTCTAATCCGTAGTTTGAATATTTTTTAATAATTTCAAATCTTTCGGAGCTGGATATATCCCAAATTTTTTGTTCCTTTATTTCTGTAAAAATCCAAGGTTTTATCAAAGCACCTCTACCTATCATCACTCCTGTTAGATGGGGTGCAGTTTCTTTGGACTTTTTATAATCTTCATAACTCAAAATGTCACCGTTTCCTATAAAATATACAAATTTACACTATTAGAAATAATTAGAATCATAATCCATACCTAATACTGGCATAGGAGCTGCAGCTTGTGCCACTGTTTCTATATAATTCCAATTTGCGGATTTTGTATATCTCTGTTCCCTAGACCTTCCATGAATTGTTAATAAGCTAACACCACAATCCTTCATTTTTGGAGCCTGAAATTATTTTTATAATGTATATTTTAAACTAAGCAATCAAAAGAAAGAATAATAATTTTAATTTGTGTTTAATTTTGAATGCTTACTAAAGTGTGTGCAATATTTTCACTGCTATAAACTCCTGTTCTCATTTTCACAGTAAGTGGTACATCTAAAATACTGCTTAAACTTTTTACACAAGTTTCTAAAACCCTTGGCCTTCTCAATAAACCACATCCAGCTCCCGAATTATATACAAGTTCAATGGGACATCCCAAATTCAAGTCGACAAAATCAACATCAGTCTCATTTTGTAAAAGCTGTCCACATTTAGTTAAAAGAAAAGGATTATTAGCACACAGTTGAACACCAAATATATCTTCACTTTTATGGCGTTTTAGAAGGGCCCATTCTTGAGGCAGACCTATAAAAATTTATCTGATGACTTGTCTTTTATATAATTAAAAATTAAGATTACAATATTTATATACCTATTTAAATTTTGCTCCACATTTATTTAAAGAAACTACAATTTACATGAAGACTTAAATTTTAGCATAAATACAACAGCCAATCAAGAGGATTTTTACTCGAACCCAAATACATTTTAGCAATTTTTTTAGTTGAAATACCATGATTTATACTATTATATAATAAGAATAATAATTTAACCAAACAAATTATGGGCCTATATTTTTCTTAAATTTCATATTATTATATTTCATTTAATATATAGAGGATGTTAGTTTTGTAGCATGTACCTTGTAATAATGATGAACACATTGCCATTTCTCCACATGTGATGTCAACACCAAATTCTTTACAAATTCGTCTGAAAGGAAGATTTCCAACAGTTGTAAGAGGACTTAAAAATAATTTGTCACTCCAATGTATTTTCTTTTTCTCCCTTTGAAGGAGTTTAATAATGTCTTCATCAGTGACTGAGCCAGTAGGAGGGTTTGAACTTTTTTCGCTTTCATGATTATTCTAGAAAATATTTCAATAATACAATAAAATTACATTATAATAAGTGAAGATGGACAAATGTATATTATATTATGTATATTATCTACAATTATTATACTAATAAATGAAATCTATAAGTGATTCATTCACTCAATCTTCTTGACATAGAAAACTGATTTGTTTGCATACATGTTTATTTTAGGGTAAAACAGGTTCAATAAAAAGGGATTTTTCAAAACACAAATAATAAAATAATTTGTCTCAAAAAAATATTTGCTATTTTAAACAACCCTGAAACATTTTGTAAACTTAACATATAACAATATTTTTGAGGTACATTTTTAGCCATTGTTGAATGCTAAGTAACAGAATTAACAGTTTTTAAGATTTTTTTTTTGAAAATATGAAATTTTTCTTTGCTAGCAAATAATAATGTTGCCATTTGAAAAAAACTGAAATAATGATTGTCATAAAAATATATGTAAATATTAGCTAAATACCTTTTTTATACTGTCTACATATTTTACACACTTTTCAGCTAACTTGAAATCATAAGTTCTTTTCCTCAGAGCTATTTGAACATCATGTTTAAGGGTGTTTATTGTATATGGTCCATTAGCTTCGAAAGCTAATAACTTCTCCTGGTCAATTTTATTTGTACCTTCTGTAGTTATGTGTTCACTGCCAAACCTACAAGACAATCCCCTAGCACATTTACCAGAAACTTGGTAATTATAACAGTTGTCACCTAAATCTTTTGCTTTTAATTCTAGATACTTTTTAATATCGTGCAAAAATTGGCAATTTTTTCTTTCACATGTTGGAATTTCACCATCGAGGACTACATTTATTAAATTGCTACAAAGTTCGTCACCTTTGTCTACACGATAGGTAGGTCCTCTAGACTTATTTTGGCCTTTCAATTTCTTGCTTTTATCAAATTTCTGTTTTTTAAAAGGTGGTTCATTTGTCTCATCGGCAATTGAAGCATTTTCGAAGTTAATTTTGTCTTTATCAGATACATGGTCTAGATTTACATCTCTTTTTGGATCCGGAATAATATACCTACAAATAAAATGTATTATTAATTTATTAGAACAATTTGAACCTATTTTTTACTCTGCTTTTATATTACAGATTCCACTACTGGACATTGTTAAAAAATCAGTTATAAAACAGTGGTAGTCGTCCACGTTATCGAACAACTAAAAACACCGATATCACAAGAAAATGAGAATTTTTAAAAACTTTCAAGTGATGTGTTTATAGGTTATTTAGGTTAGAAGAAGACAAATGACAGAATTTTGTATGTCATTATGTCAATTGGAGATGCGTTCGGTTAGTCTGGGGCTGGAGCAGGACAGAAGTAGAGTTTTTTAGGGTGTTTTTAACTTCTTTTAACTCACGGTTCGTAGACAAGTGCAAACTGACATTAGAAATTATAGATTCGTTCGCAGTAACAATCCTGTACTAATTCCGAATGCTAAGGACCGATTCCATCACAAAGCACATAGAGGTTCCACGTGAATGACCAAGGTCAAAACCGGCAACTGACATTTTTTATGCTATTTGCTCCAAACTCTAGATGGGGCTACTGGTGAAATTATGATTTCTTACTCCATTTTTAAGCCTTATGGGAAAGACTCCAAAGATGTGACTGTGACGTGTATTTATTTATGTTCTTGGTTAGTTTCACTTTTCCGTCTGATTTTAGTGATTTTTTGTTGGCTTTGGCTTTTGGTTTCTGTTTATAGTTTCGTCTTAGTTATTTGCAAAATTGTGATATTTCGCTTTTTTATTTCCAACTGTGTTTTGCAATAATTTTGGTGCTACGTTGAAAACTTCGAGAAAAACTTCATTGATTCACCATATATTCACCATGCATCTGCATCATAAAAAGACAAACGGGTACAACAACTAATTGATAATCAATTTATCACTGGACTAGATTCCGAAATCATTTTTCACATAAGAGAGTAATACCACCATCTGTATTTGGAAGGAAAATACCCATTTATCATTGAATGAATAGTTAAAAGGATTCACCTTTTAATACAATACCTATATTACATTTGTCCTCAGTTAAAAAGACATTTATAAAATATATAACTTTAGTGTTAATAAAATGTAATATCCTAGTCTCTACTTCACATTTAAATTATTGATAGGTACCTATTTTAAAGATTTGAGATTATATATATTTGCTCCAAGTAAGTAGTCGTTAAATATGTATTATTATTTGTATTTATTTTTATCTAATAATATTTATTTAAGTTATTAATAAACATATTTTAAGAATGTTCTATTTTATTATTTATTGATATATCTTATATTTATTTAATAAAAATATGCAGAACCAACTCTCCACATTAGACCCCTTATAACAAATTAATTCTTCAAATTTGGTATAATCGACCTAAATTATTTTGTAAAATAAAAGTTTAGAACTTACTAGTTCCATACTTTATTTTATAAAATAATTTATGTGGAAATCATTTAAAATTTAATTTAAAACTACTACCTACTCCTAAAAATTACAATTTGAATTTACCGCCATCTGTCAATTGTCATTTTAGTTCCAGCTCCAAACAAGGTGGCGCTAATTTGGTTTAAAAGTTTAACATTGGCGTGGGGTCTCTAGAAGATACATGCTTTGTGGATTCCATCGTTGTGTTAAACGAAGTTTAAAATGACATTTTTACATTAACAATGTCATTTTAATCTCCGTTTAACACAACGGTGGAATTAGGCATTCCAAACTGAATGACTACCAGTGGGTTTTGACGGGTTATGATATGGAAAAATTATGGCAACCCTGTAGGCCTGGTGATTTGACAAGATCAATGAAATAGATAGTTACATAGATTGATCATCCATATTTTTCAAAATAAACATAAGCTTATGCCTTAAAGTAAAAATATAAGCAATTTTTTTTTTAAATACCTAAAGGCTAAAAATTGGTTTTAAAACACATTTTTGCTAAACCGATTCAAATTAATAAATATTTACCAGACAATATGGCCGCTCGTAAACGACCAGCTTTGAGCAATCTATATAACTATATATGTATCATTGAACCTGTAAATGACAACATGACAACAGGGTTGCCATATCTAAACTGTCATTACCCACTGGTAGCCATTTGGACAGGTCGTTGGAATGCCTAATTGGTCCTAAAGAAGTAGACAAAGTATGTGCGAAGCATGATTGAAATGTGAAAATTTGAACATTACTTTCCATAAAAAACATCTGTCATTTTAAAATGTTTGGTTCTAATATTATGTTGGTAATGGCAATTCAAGTTGAAGTTGAATTTCCCTATTATTATGTTGGCAATGTTCTTTCCCTAATAAATAATGGCTTCTTGTTAAGGCGGTGGGTGGTCGAGAATTTTATAATTTGCAAGTTTAGTGATATTTTTGTGTTTAAATCATCGAGATGAAATAATATTATTGCTACAACAGGAATATAATTATGTTTTTTCCATATTTACGTTAGTGCTTTGTGCCGTTACAAGAGATAAAGTTGCTACTTGTCATAAAGAATAATGATCAACTCGACGAATATTATTCAAAATGAGCTAATAATACTCAACTTGTAAGAATTAATGATCCACCGCTAAAAAGACGATGTGTTTGGGTGTTAACTAATTGGAGTTGTGAATTAATAATGTAAGTTTCTTTATTGTTGTCTCTAGTTAAGGTAGCATTAAATATAGTAATTGCAGCACACGTACATGTTAAATTTTGTAAAAAATTGTTAAAATAATAAATTTATTCCTAATTGAATGGCATTAAAAAATTAACCGTGTTCATTTTCTTTAATTCCCAACAAAGGAAAATAAAAATACTTAAGGATACCTTATTTTTGAAAGTTTGACCAATGAATAAAGGATTAAAGATCCAAATATTGTTATATATGTATTAATATATATTCATAATTATAAGAGTTTGGGGGTGGGTTTATCATTGGCTAGGTTTAAAACTCATTACTGTTGAAATTATTTCTAATAAATTCCAATACAATGGTAGGAGGTAGGATTCTCCATTTGACCTTTCACTGTTCTAATTGCACACTGCTATTTCTAAAGTTGCGATGGGAAACTGTAACAGAGCATACATTGATAACATCAAAAAAAATATAAGTAATATTTGTCAGAGCTAATGGATTTATTAGCTGTACTAGGAATATTAAATCTGGTTTTGAGAATCATTGTGCTCATAATTATCTGTCAAAATTTATTTTGGAAGATATTTTATCAATCCATGATAATGTTAAATGTTTTTATTATGTAAAATATAATTAATAACATTGCAATATTAAACCCACTTGTATATTAACTATTTTATGTACAGACTATATAATTAATAAGTAAGTCATATTGGTCTACTGAATGGATATAATTTCATATCCATACTAGTAAGGACATTGTACAGATATAAAATCCAATGTCCAAGCACAGTTCATATTTAGTACACTGCTAATATTCTTTTACATTTTAAATAAGAGAATTATGTCAAACTAATTTTCAGTAGGTATATTATTTTAGTTATTGAGAAAATATAATTAAAAATGTATAAGTTCCCATGTTAAGGTAACACAATATTAGGAGAGATTAAAAAAAAATTGGGCAGTAGAAGAACCGATATTTGGAACAATCTCTTGGGGCTAAAACAGGCTAATATGCTTCTGGGTGAATATAACCAGAAAAGGTCAGAAGCCTGTATCTGCCTGAGCAAGAACAGGCATTATCTTGTAACAGGGATCCTTACTGGGCATTGCTGACTCAAAGGACACTTTGGTAAATAAACTGAGTAGTAGAAGATAGTGAGTACAGATTCTGTGAGGAGGGGAACGAAACCTCCATTTACATTCTGACTGAATGTGTAGCACTTCAGAATCCAAGGGCACTAGGAGTATATCAAATAGAAGAGGGAGATTTACCTAGATTTACCAGTGTATTAATACCACATTCCCAAAATAAGGTCTGAATTTCAAATCTTGGTTAATGCCAATTTTTTTTTCAGTTTTATCTTATCTAATAGGTAGGTATATTAGTAAAATTCATAAATTAAAATATTTGTGCTAATTATTTCTGATAGTTTTTTTTTTATCTCAATAGCAATTGGAGGCAATTTTTAAAATTTTGTAAGAGTTTCTTCAAAGTATCGAAAAACAACTTGAGTGGATTATCTGTATTGCTTTCAGCTGATTAAGTACTGTATGATATGGCCAATATATTCACTCTTGTTTTATTGCACAAGTTACTATTGTTTAAAACACTTGATTCCACAATATCTTCCTCGTTATGACCATTTGGGGTACCTGGCTTGAGTTTCATTAGATGCAGTGAGGTTCCTTTGACCAGGAGTGTTGGAACCCATATTTGTCCTTTTATACTTCAATAACTTGCCTTCCAGTTTAAGCACAGTTTAGGAGTGCAGTAGTTCACTAACTGCTGTAAAAATATTCATCTAAACAGAAAAACAGAATTTATTGAATTTACCAGTCCTCTTGAGCACCTTAATTATCTGAAGTTTACCATAAATAACTACCCAAGTCAATAAATTGATTTGGAGTTAGATTTTATGCTCAATTTCAACGACCATTTATAATGTTTATGTAAGAAATTAAATAAATTATATTTTGCATTTATAAATCTCAAATCCAACTTTTATATCGAGGGTTAAGAACCATAACAACATAACAGAAATTTCTAAAATGCTCAGGAGAGCTAAAAATATGTTGAAAATATATATCATTAAGGTTTCTAAATTGATTCTAATTTCTAATACATTATTGTACCTATTCCCTATTATTGTACTTTTGACAGAACCTTTTACAAAAATTAAAAGTATTAAGTTTTCCGAAATATAATTTTTTGATAACTCAGTTTGCCATTTTTTACGTCATTCTGGTTCTTAACCCTTTATATGTGTCACTTAATTCATATTTATTATGCTCAGGTATACAGCGCGATCAGTTGCAATATCTTTGTGTGGGGTAGTGCAATAGAAATATAACATATTTCCATTATAAAATAAAAATGTTTGTAAAAACTCGTTAACATATCGACAATAACAATCATAGATTTAATAAAAACCTTGAAATACATACGGATAATACAAGAAATAAAAATGACATACACTTAGATTACATTGCCAGAACTCACCATAAGAAAGCACCATTTCATAATGGAGCCTATCTATATAACCTGAAGGATGTTTTAATTAAATGAAGTTAAATAAAAATCATGATTACTATCAGCAGATACAAGGAAATTTGTATTTAATAAAAAGGAAGATCTGCTATCCCTTCATCTGGACCGTAGATGATGTTCCTGTAGAAGAATGGGGAACAATCTTCAACTATTATATTATACTTTTATATTAATAACTGTTCAATTTTCATGTGAAAATAAATAATAAAAATTTGTTGTTTGTATTTTCTTTATTTCTTAAAATATTTTCTTTATAGAGTTCATGTAATATAATAATATATTTAAAAAATTACTTGCTCATTGATTTTACAAATTTATTAATGTACATATATTCAAAACATAATAACAATTGAATCGGTGAGTGAAAGAACAATACATATCCAAAATGACCATTTTGAGAAAAACAAAAAAAACTGTTTTAAAAGAGAACTATGGGTTATTCGGCCTAATTATGTATTGTGAAGTTATAGAATTTATGTTAACCGATAATAATACGTACATAAATTTAAAAATAAAATTATGTAAAATATGATATTTGAAAAAAATGACTTGCAGTTATACTGTTCTTTGACTCAATTTAAAAAAATGCTTTAATTTTTTTTTGTAGCTTTATTGATTATTATTTAATAAACTTATTTGTAATTTTTTAATCAGAATCTTCATTTTTGACTTTCCAAGAAATAATATATGGTAGTAAAACTCTAGGATTTCATCACTAAAGTAGAATAAAAGTATCTTTATTCGCTCCGTGCGCGACAGCAGCGCCAATTCGTTTTGATACTAATGGTCTATTTCTGCGTGTACTGACAAATGCAACTTTTAATAGAATTCGTAATTAAAAAGTATACATGTTAGTTTTAATGAAAGTGTATGGATTTGTAAAACAAGTAAAACATTAATTTATTATTATTATATATTTTTATCGCTTAAATTAAAGAAAATTATGTATAATCGATATAAATGAATAATAAAATATAGGCAGGCAACAGTATTTACTGGAAAATGTATGAGAAGTTGCCTAAGTCTAATAAGTTTTCATTGAAGAATTAGTCTATTCTGTCAAAATACAAAAATACCATTTAATAATAGCGTGAAGTTAAAATGTATAAAAAAAGGATCATTACTTATATTTTCATTTTTGTTCGAAAGAAAACATAGAATAAATGATTAAAACTAATTTCCCATCAGTAAGTTACAAAATTGCGTTCCAACCACATATAATAATCAAAGGCAGAAATCTTGAAATCTAGTCCTTGCTGAATGAACATTTAAGAATAAGGGATATTAAAGAACATGGTAAAATGATAATTTATTGTTTATTTAAAACCTTTCAAGTTTCTGATGTCTAGTTATTATTACAAAAATAAAGGTAATTTTTCTTCTTATTGTATATCTATCCATTTATTTCCTTGATTTAATTTCCACTTTGCTACTGAAATTTTTTATATAAGTTTCACTGTTTTTTTGCTAGTATTTGTACAATTTTCAACACAGCAACTCCGGTTGCTTATTGTATTGTTTTTACCTACTTTTTTTGAAAAAAAGTAAAATATATACGTGTATTTGATATGCCAAAATTACAAAATATCGCCCTAAAATGCACGAATTATCCGCAGCTAGCGCTACTATCGCTTTTGCTTCCCTTTCCATGACTTCGCACGGAGCGAATATTGGCTATCTTCTTTACCTTAATAGGGACAACTTCTGAGTATGCCTTTTCTAATAGCAAGCATACACGCAACGGTCTACCGGAGAGGCCTACCTGTGCAGGTATGCCTGCGCAGGTCGGCTTCATGTCGTAGCGTACATGTCTACCTGTGCAGGCACACCTGCACAGACAGATCGTAGCGTGTATGGCCGCCATAAGGGTAACTGCAGATTGGCATTAGGTTTGATATCAGTCTAATGCGCCCCACACATAAAAGTGTGCGAGAGAATTTTGCCTATGAAGGCACTTGTAGTAACATATCCAGAAGTTTTACCAGTGTATGTAAACTGGCTGTACTGTGGAATGACAAAATTAGCTTTTTGTTCATCAGCTGATTTAGAGGTTTTTTTATGAAATTGCGACCACCAGTTTTTGAAATCTGTGTTAAATTTGTCTACGAAACGACATGGCTACTGAGTGAAAAAACAGTACATGCGCCGTACTTGTACTGTTCTTTCACTCAACCGAAAATTGAACAAGCCCCCATCACTCGTATGATGTTGGTCTGTGTATTATTCATTCGCTATGTGATAGGCTTATGAATTTTAAACAATTTACCTATCTCTGTTAAAATTATCGTTTTTGGCACTTGTACTGTTCTTTCACTCACCGATTCAATTAAATAACATACCTCAATAAAACTTAATTACAGTAAAAATTGTACCTAAAAAACAAATAATCATCTGTTGTTATACAGGTCCTCAACTTATTGTATTAAAGGAAATTGACAATTTGTTAAAGCAGCACAGACCTGATTGACCATTGAAGCATATGGTACAAGCCTTGAACATTTTAAAACATTTAATGTTCCTTATAGCACGTTCAATATGAATTCCAGCTTTAGGAATTTTTCATGTTGTACTATTTGCTGATGAGTAAACTGACCAGTTGTTAGAAAAGGAGGTATATTTAGACTTACATCTGAAGGAAGCAAATCTAAAATTAAAAATATGTTTGTCAGCAATAACCAGTTCTTCTGGTCTAAAATACCACAATCCTTTACAATTCTTTTATTAGATTACTATATGCAACTGCACATTGTGATCTGTCTATTTCCACTCTAAGTGCTCTTTTGGCAAAATATATAATCTAAAAGATATTTCACCCTAAGACATAGATAAAAAATTATACTCCTCTGTGATTATTATACAAAACTACACTTTCTCAACTATTGTTGATTAAGAATTGAGAACATTTCCCTATTTGATCATTTTGATAACACAAAGTATTAATTTCCATCAATCCCTTTTTTGATAACAAAGTAGTCATTCATGTCGACCATTAAATAATTATCTAGAAGAGAACTGTCATTTTAATTTTTTGAATAATTATAAACATGTGTTGTAGCAGCATGTTAGCCATAAAAAATATAGTGATCAACTTGCAAGAAATACTCATTTCCTACTTGTATAAATATGAGTACCTTAAAGAATATATTGTTAAAATATAAAAATTAATTCATTATAATTGTCCGATTTAATATATTGCGTTAATTTTGCAAGGAATGTTTGTGAAATGTTATTTATTTACAGTCAAGCCCATTTAAGTTACAATAAATTGTTAAAAATTACATTGGTGTATTTTGAATGTTGTGCTGAGTCTATTTACAGAAGACTCAAATATTATAATATCCAGATAATTTGCCAATCTAAGTATTCGAGGAATACAGCTGTTAAAAGTACTATCAAGTCTATAAAACGGAATATAAAATATTTGTAACTGCCTGGTACTACAAGTAGGAAAAAAAAGATTAATGTTTGGTAGAATTTCAGGACAATCATATCTTCCATTAACAATATTAAAAAATAAATAAATATTGTCTTCAGGTTTCCAGAAAGGGCATATCTAAAAGCTGCTTCATTCTAGTATAATCATAAAACGTTTGTAATTTAAAGGCTATGTGTCTAAGGAAATTGTTCTGAACAAGATTGATTTATAATTTATATGATACATGATGTTGAGGACCATATACAAGAGCAATAATTGATGTGACTCCTAACTAAAGTACAATAGTTTTAATAGCAGTTGCATCAGTGAAGTCACAGGTCATTCTATTAATGAATCCTAACATTTCCATAGATTTACTTATAACTGAAGAGATCTGGTGGTTAAAGCTAAGAGTTGTGTCAAAAATAACTCTAAGATCTTTAATTTGTTTAACACTGAATAGGTTATGGTTAAGTTAACGGTATGTCACGCGCCTAAGAAAATTTAAAGCTTCGCCAATCAGGTCCTACCTTTTATTTCCTTGGCTTCCTGACGCAGGCTTAATTTCCTAGCCACGTCCACCCGAAGCTGCAGGGGTTGTGGACTGTATTAAGGGCTTACCGGACCTGTATATTGGTGTGACATGAGAATTTCCAATAATCCGGTAAATCTCCAGTATCCTATGATTTATTAAAAATAAATAACAGGACGAGACAATATAAGGCTGCAGTTTTTCAGGAGTAAGGGGGAATCGCATCAGGACTTTTCTTAAATCAAGTTTAGCTAACTGCTCGTAAATAATTGAAATTGGAATATGATATGAGCATATATTAAGTTTCGATTCAATATTACAGTCATACATATCGATATTTTGATTGGTTAAGACTGAAGAAAAATAGTCAGCAAATAAGTTAGCCATTTCTGAGCCCAAAGAAATTTCAAATCCATTCGAATTCATTTTATCTAGAATAATGATATTATCTTTTTTGATGTTAACAAAATTCCAGAAAACCTTAATATTACTTTTAACAGAGGTTTGAATAGAGTTTTCATAATTTAAATAACACTCTCTGGACAAGAGTTTACATTTTTTATTTTATATAATTTGTTTTGTACTTTTTTGAGTTCTACTCTTCGGACCCTCCGTGCTAACACCCTAATCCATAGATGCATACTAGTCTTTGTTATGTATATAAATAATTGCTTAGATAACAGTATTTATTTCTTTTAGCTTTCATCACTACTTTCTGTCAAGATGGCTAGGAAAGGAGATACAATTAGGAGCATCAATGTATCAATAGTTGGTTTGTCTGGTGTAGAAAAGGATAAAGGTCATGCTGGCGTGGGAAAATCCTGCCTGTGCAATCGCTTCATGCGGCCTCATGCTGAAGACTACAATGTAGACCACATATCTGTTTTGAGTCAAACTGATTTTAGTGGAAGAGTTGTTAACAATGATCATTTTCTATATTGGGGAGAAGTGATCAAATCTTCCGAAGAAGGCATCGATTATCAATTTAGTTTAATTGAACAAACTGAATTCATCGATGATGCTTCTTTTCAACCATTCAAAGGAGGTAAGATGGAGCCATACGTCAAGCGCTGCGGATCAACAAAAATTACATCTGCTGAAAAGTTAATGTATATTTGTAAGAATCAATTAGGTATAGAAAAAGAATATGAACAAAGAGTTTTGCCTGACGGTAAATTAAATGTTGAGGGTTTTATATGTGTTTTTGATGTAAGCGTTGTGCCAAGTAGGACTATTGAGAAACAGGTTGAATTTGTAGCCGCTATTCTCAATAATTTATTAAAAACAAAAAAGCCAATTGTATTTGTTACAACAAAAAATGATGATGCCAATGATATGTACATTAGGGAAGCGCATAAGTTAATCTCTAGAAACGAATATAAAAATAGTATACCGATAGTCGAAACTTCGGCTCATGATAGCGTTAACATTGACGTTTGTTTTATGTTATTAGCCCAAATGATCGATAAAACTAAGGTAAGATCTAAAATACCGTCATTCACTGAGGCATCGTCAGCTAGAAAGGAATTAATGGATGCTGCGAGTGAATCTTTTATGAGGCTTATTAGAGTTCATGTTACCGATTGCCACGCTATGTGGTCGCAAACTGTTAAAAAATTAAATTCACACAAAGAATGGATTCATTTTGTGCAATTATTTGGATTAGATGGCACTCAGAGGTTGTTCAGAAGACATATTAAGAAGTTGAAAGACGAACAATTAGCTAAACAAATTGCTCACTATATGGAATTGTTACCAGATGTGTTGCACGAATTAATTCCTGGGTTTAACACATTAGCGGACATGGATTGGCCATCGATTCAGCAATATTTAAAATCCCACCCAAACTTTTCACAGTATTTCTTTGAGAGACCCGAAGATTTGCCATGGTCTGAATGCTTAGATGATAATGAAGAAACTCGAATACCTTTTGATGTATTGGACACAAGTGAAGCTGAAACAGTTTTCAAAAATTACGTAAATGTTCTGCAACAGGAACAAAAACGTTTGGAGTGGAAGAAACAGTTTAAGCAATTATTAGAAGATACAGGGTATGTTACACCTGGTAAACATCTATCTGAAGTTCGGGTTTTATTTATGGGTCGAGAATGTTTTGAAGCTCTTTCTGAACACGATTGTCAGAAAATATATGATGCACATCAAAGAGAGATTATTGAAAATGCCAAACATAATTTCCAAGAACTTTTACTTGAACATGCTGACCTATTCTATCACTTCAAAAGTATAGCTCCCACTGGTACCATTACTCAAGACGACATTAAAGAGATAACGGATGTGTTACAAGAGGATTTTAGGTATAAAATTTTGGATAGACTTGATCAAGATAGAAAGCTTACCCTTTTCCAGCACTTGGGTTTTATACATTATCCAATTAGAGAACATTGTCCTGCTTTTCCAAATTGTCAAGATGCATTGATTGAGCGAATCTTAGCTACTAAAGCCCATCGACCTACCTCTTGGAATAATAGCAATCAGTGGCTTATTAGTTCAGAAAATAACCAACTCAATCTACTTATATTAGGATTAAATAATTTGGCAGAAAATTTGGCTGTTAAAATTAGAAAACAATGCGATGATGATGAGTATGAAATAGAGTGTCAGTTTTATAACTTAGATTATAGGGTCATAAATGGAGATGTTAGTTTGCCCCACAATTCTTTCAGAACTTCTGATTTTATACCGCATGGTAGCTTTTGTGTGTACAATAATGCTCAGTCATTTGAATACATTCGGGAGAGTTTAGAAAAGAAGTTACTATCTAATCTTGAGCAGGACGATAAACTTCCATTTCAGGGTTTGCCAATTGTTCTTATGTTTTTACATGATTCTTCAGTGGAAGAAAAAGAAATATTAAGATTGCGAGAAGATGGCCAAAATCTAGCTGATAATTTGCAGTGCCCTTTTATGGACATATCTTTAGAACAAACCATGGAAGAGCAGCTAGTTCATGATGCTCTCCATCAGTTAATGCAAAGTATTCATCATCGAGCAGGTTTCTTGAATATCAACCAATCCGTTATAGAATGCGTTGAACCTGATATAAGAATTATCATGTGCATGTTTTGCGGAGATCCATATTCCATTGAAAACATTTTGGGTCCCCTTTTATCACATCAAGTTTGTTTTCTATCATCTTCTCACAGTATTATTTTGGAAACGTTTTTAGGGGATTCCAAAAGAAAGGTCGAGGTTATAATATCTTCTTTTCATGGTGCAAATGCATTTAGAGATGAACTTGTTCACGGTTTCATTTTAGTATTTTCAACAAAAAGAAAAGCATCTTTGGCCACGTTAAATGCCTTTTCTATGAACATTCCAAACCTTCCGATACAGATATTGGCTGTAACTGATGATGGTGGAGCCACAGCGTTCTTTAATGACGATCTAAGCCAGCTATTAATTACTGAAGGAAATGCAACGGCAGATAGGCTTCATGCTCACTTTATGACGTCATCGTCTTCAATGCAACACAAGACGGCTTTTTTCACTCCATTCTTTAAGGAAGTTTGGGAAAAGAAACCCGAAATTGAACAGGCTTTTAATATGGAAGAACCTTCTGGATTGGACAGTGGGGAAGGCACTTTGGAAAGATCGAAAAGTCAAAGACATGGCCATCCGTTGCCACCACCTCGACATGAGAGTTACTATCTAAAGTTGAATGACGGCAGCGAAAGTGAAAACTTTGAATTAAGTGGACCTGATGAAAGACTTAGTTCTAGCGATCACAGCGATAAATTTTCCAGTATTTACATGTACGGCAGCGAAGGAAGCGAGAAAAAGAGAAGCATGCATTCCGGTTTCCATGTATATCCTCCGCCAGCTACTCCTCCTGAACCTGCGCCCCCAGATAACATTCTAAACTTAAGACATTCCAAAAAGCAAATTATGTCAACATCTCAAACTAGTTTGGACGATGTTAACTATGGAGATCATCCAATGTCTATTCCTGGTAGCGCCTGGAATAATTATCATCAACATGCGTTTACTACAGGTCGTAGACATATTCCTATTTCCAAATCTCGTTCGAAAGGAATCTCTCAGACTTTAAAACAGCCGGGAAAACTGAATATGAAAAATTATTCGGCTGTTACTGAAGCAATTGCTAGAATGAACGTAAGTGATATGTCTCCTTCTAATTTTGGTAACGCTCCTCTAGCTACTCCAGAAGCAGTCGATTTAGGTTGTGAATACGCTCAAGTTAAAGATGTTCTTCACAGTATGTATCCTGGTCAGAGTCCAGAATATATGTATACCATGGTACAGGATGCTATTAGCGGCAAGACCAAATTAAGGCAAAGGCGAGAAAAAGGACAACCATCTTATTCAGATACTGACAGCGAATGGAGCAGTTTGGAAAGAAGACAACGAGCTAGTGAAGTATATTCTAAAGTAAGCAGAAAAGGTGGCACCCATAAAAGGCAGCGCAAGAAACGTACTGCCATTCCAGTGCAGCCTCCAAGAGTTCCGCAGTTAGGATCTTTTACTCTTCCGCCAGTACACACTCCGGTATCCGATGCTGATAATGACAAAATTAATGTAGGATCTGAATCAAATTCCGAATCGTCAGATGTAAGCGAAGCTGAACAGTTTCCTCCTCCAAGTAGTTCTGATTTGAGAATGAGATTTTGTCAAAAACGATCATTGAGTTTAAAGAAAAGAATGCCAGATTCAGTGAATTCTCATCATTTCAATATACAGTTGAATTCTATGGACTTGTATCAAAGTCAAGGTATGATGCACGATGATGAATCTAGTTTAGACGTTTCTTCTCCGAGGGACAATAGCTCTCCCATGTTTGGTGTTTTACCTAAAATGAAAGAATGCGACATAGAAAAAATGCTTCGTAAACGCGAGAAGCAAAAAGCAAAGGATGATTCAAAACAGGAAAAACGTAGACTGAAAGAGGAGAAATTAAAAAGAGTTGCCGAAGAAAGAGATAAAAAGAAACAGAAATCAAAGCAAAAGTCAATACCTTCTAGTGGAGCTCCATCCAAATTGGCAGACTTTATTCAATCGGATAAAAACTTTGTGCCATGCTTTATTGAAATGTGTGTTAAATTCATTGAGAGCGAAGGTTTGGATTCCGAGGGAATCTATAGAGTACCAGGTAATAGAGCACATGTGGATCTACTATTTTCCAAATTTGAAGAAGACTCCAATGTTGACGTTCGTGATCTTGATATCCCTGTTAATGCTGTGGCTACAGCACTGAAAGATTTTGTATCTAAAAGGTTACCATCATTATTTGAACCTGATGTAATGACTGAAATGGAAGAAATCGCTGGTACTAGATTGAAACCTATGGTAACAACTTCCGGTAATTTGGAGGTAAAGAATGATCGTAGCTGCAGACTTTTAGCTTTAAGAAGTATGTTGGATAAATTGCCTCCGATAAATTTCCAAATTTTGAAATTCATTTTTCAACATTTTGTTAAAGTGACAGAAAACTCTAAACTGAATAGCATGGATAGTAAAAATCTGGCAATATGTTGGTGGCCTACTTTATTGCCGATAGAGTTTAGCGACATGGGAAAATTTGAACAAATGCGGCCATATCTGGAAGACATTGTTCAAACCATGATTGATCAATATCCTTTTTTGTTTTGTGGAAAAGAGGCTTTTGTTATGGTTTAAAAGCTTATGAGTATAAAAACCACGCACAATTTGCTATCGGTAGCCTCTGTATCGGTGTTTCGTCATCCATTGATTGTTGTTGAATAGAAGAGAGGCCTTTTATGTTAAATTAAGAAAATGGATAGCAAAGAGTAAGAATGTTCACTTATTGTTATTAATTGTGTGATGACCCAGTGGTAATTTGTATTTTTACATTATCCTTGATGGAGTATTTCAAATTGCTGTATGATACTTTTATAAATGAAATGTATGAACAATGTTCAGTATACTTTGACTGGGTTATTGTCTTAGGATAGTAAATGTTGTATCTTTTTCAAATATCAACGAGAATGTAGCTCCGCTACTTGTCCATTGTTGGAATTTTATTTTGAATAAAACCAGCTATTTAAATTTATAAAACTGTTTGGTATTGGAGCTAGATAAATGTATACAATTAAACTTTCCTTAGTTTAATAAATGAAATTAATTAAAACATAACGTGCGCATGTGCAAAAACCACCAACTACAATTTTTTTTTAATTAGCTACATTGGTATCACATGTGTTAGAATACAATTTTGGCAATCTTTTTAAGTGAACGTACTCTTACCGATGATCTGAAGTAGATAGATGTAAGACACACATAGGGTTGCCACCTATCCTTTTTTTGAAAAAGACTCCTTTTTTCACACAATTGTCTTTTGTATCTTTTTAAAGCTTAAAATGTATTTTTTACGTCACATGTCTTTCAAAAGAACACCCGGTTTATAAAAATATAAGCCGAGGACTTTTTTTTTGAAGCTCTGCAAAAGGACCAGGGGTTTTTAAGAAAATATAAGCTGATGGCCTTTTTTTTTGTTTAGAAGCTCGCCAAAAATACTTGGTGTTTTAACCAGATTCTCTATCGTCACCGTTGTTGTCTCGCTTTCCCCTTTCATAAATCTGGCAACCCTAACTATCTAAACTAAGTTTTTTCGAAATGCCCTTTATTCACTTTTCAAAAAGGTGGCAATCCTAGCCACACATACCAAAATAGCATCTGAAGACACTGGAAAGGGATCAGAAATTGTGTGTTACTTTTTATTTGATACAAATTCAACAAATGGTTTACGAGATAATTTATATAAAACTTGTTTTATGGGTTGTCTATTCTGTATCATACAGTTGGTCATTATTAAAAAGTTAAAATTTGTTGCTTCTAGTGCCTAATCTCAGAAATCGGTCACTGACACCAGGATTCTGCACAGTAGTTTATTGAGTGCGCCAAATTATTTAGTGGGCAAAATTCTCGCGCATGTGTCTGGTTTCTGATTGTTGTTGAAACAGACCTCTAGTTTCCATTAACAAAAAAGCAGCATGGGCAAAATTTTAGTACCATCGGGGAAAATTGCTAGGTGACCCTCAAATGCCTTTAAGTTGGAACATATTATACAATAGAAAGCGGTATGCTCTTACCTCTACCATTTTCTTGCTTATACTTAGAGAAATTTTTGTGGACACATCCATTCAATACTATTTCTTTAAAATACTTTTGAAAAGTTGTTAACTTTTTGGACTAGTCCATCGGATATATATGACAGTATATTTGGTTAATCCTTTCTATCATGTTTGGCAATAGCCCCCTCCCCCATCCCGGAAGGTTAAGTTTTTAAGGTTTATTTTACCCAACCAAAAAAGTAATGTTTTGTTCATAAAATTCACCCAACCTACTCATTACATAAGTTAGTAATGGGCAAATTTTGAAAAAATCTGGGAGCCGTTTTAAAAAAAATATATTTTGTTCAAAATTATTCTATGTAATCTCTATGCCATTGTTATACTACTTTTGAATGGCATATAAAGAGTGTTCAATTTAAAATAAAAAATGAGAAAGTGATGTGTTGACGACCATTGTTTCTTTTGCAATATACAGGTCATTTAAATCAATACGATTTTTATATAAAAATGTGTAATCCCATACGATTTGATATTATAATGGGAAATACAAGGGTATTTCAAATATAAAATAAAATACTGGATAATCCATTTAAAAAAAAAACATAAGTTTGTTCAGGATGCAGGATCATATTTTTCTTTGGTAACTACGTTAGAGTTAAAAGGGTAAATGCCACCTTTTCTAAAACCGTTGCAAATTATCTCAGGTTCTGTTTCTTTCCAAATTTGTCCTATTAATGAACTAAACTTCTTTTTTGAGAACTTTTTTCCCTCATTATGTATCTGCCATTGGACAGCGCACCGATTGGCTGTACGCGTTAGTATAAAATTGATGCTTTAGGAATTTTGGGCACAGTCGATTGTGTATCGTGTTTGTTATACGAAGTAAAAATAATAATAATATTGTTTGGACGTGGTAAAGGTGGAAAAGTAAAGGGAAAGACAAAGTCCCGTTCAAATCGTGCAGGATTACAATTTCCAACTGGTCGTATTCATCGTTTATTAAGAAAGGGAAATTATGCAGAAAGAGTAGGAGCAGGTGCACCTGTATATTTAGCAGCCGTAATGGAATATTTGGCTGCTGAAGTTCCAGAATTGGCTAGTAATGCCGCTAGAGATAATAAGAAGACTCGTATTATCCCCAGGCATTTGCAACTGTCCATAAGGAACGACGAAGAATTGAACAAATTGCTTTCGGGAGTTACAATTTCTCAAGGTGGTGTTTTACCAAACATTCAAGCTGTACTTCTGCCAAAGAAGACTGAAAATAAAGCCTAATTGCTTTTAGTTTCTTTTAATAAAAACCCACTTTACTTTTAACGACTTAAAAACGATTAAATCTGTAAAATGTGAGATGAATGGGACGAAAGCTTAAGAATTGTTACACTCTATTATCGCGGGCAACTTTTATTAGTCTGTCATCGACGTGAGACACGTGACTGTCATATATAAGTAAGACAGGCCGATCAGGTCCAAATACTTCTAATAAAATTTTCTCGAAGTAATTTAAGAACAGTTGGGATTCCATCCATCCATTGGCAGTCGCGGCATATGAGTTTCTGGGTATTCGTCTGTAGAAGGAGCAATCCAGTAATCCCACATATTTGTTTGCCTTAAACACGGTCAGTGGGGAGCTTTAAATCTATCAGCGCTAACAGCCATCAGCACAGTGTCATTTTCCTTTCCAGATCCAGCAGGTTATCCTCGTTTTCCCACCACTTTAGTCTGATGAATCCAGAGAAAAGCTGGTTTCTAGATTCCAAATTTGACGAGGTTTAACGTGTAAGCTAAATTCGTCTGTTTCTTCAATAGGTCAAAATAGTTATTTGTAATAAAAGGATCCAAACACTTTTTTTCTTGCGTATTCCACCGATTGAGGTTTTTTTATTGACAAATTATCTCTTGGAAAACCCCAAAAACCAATCTTCTCCCGGTCGCCCATTCTTAAATGGTGTTTTAAGGTTATTTCTAGTGACATATTGCTCAACAGTGTTAAAAATGTCACGTCGTGTTAACCCCCACCCCCATTTTCCATTGTGATTAAACATTCGGCGAATTTAGCTTCTTTATTAATGGGAATTGCCGTGGATCTTCCCATAGATGAACTTTTCTTGCCTCTAATTCCTCGTCTAAGTGTCATCTGGGGGATACCGTATTTCTTATAAGCACCGTATTGGGTAATTGTTCCCCTATGTATTTCTACCAATGATCTTTGAAGGGTGACCTCATTGTAGGTTGAACGTTTGTTAGATTTTTTTTTGTAACAACATACCATGGTTTCAAAAAATATAACAAAAACACGTTACTTATTTTTTTTTATTGTCATGGGGTAAGAATTTTTAGGTTATATCTAATAAATACAAAAATATTTGCAAAACTACGAAAAGACTTACTTTTTCAACTTGTTATACCGATTTAATTGTTGAAATCACTTTGCTTTTTGAGGACAACGGCAGATTAAAAATTATTAACCAAATTGTGTTCAGTGTCCACACTGTCATATGTTTTCTTTGGATACCACTGCGTACCGAGGAATTATTTGAGCTTAAACATTCTACATTATAAAATAACATGTAGTATACCCTTTGCTCATAGATTGGAGCCACAATAAACCACGGAATAGAAGTTATGATGCCTCTACCACTTGCCCCAGATACACATCGCACCTTACCTTAAACTGGAACAGTAGCTATGTGTATATATTTGGCAACAATGTATATTGTTCTATTTCTGTAATATTTATATAAAGGGTTGCCCTCTTTTGTTTCACGTTTCAACTCTAATTAGCAATATTTTTTTTAGAGTAATATAAACCTTAAAAACTTGATTTACACCATACATACAAATTGTATTATTTTAATAACAACTGTCAATACCAGATTAACGACTTTTGTCAAAATTGTTTGTTATACAGTTGTTAGATATAAAATTGCTGAATACCAACTGTAGTTACAGAATAGAGGTCATTAACATGTTTTAGTTATCTCGTTTCTGGCTTATTTTTTTTTTAGAATGAATTCGTAAAAGTTATTTTTTCTTACCATGACAAAAGTATTTTCACCAAAATACCTGTTAGCCCTGTCGATTGCTTCCAAATTTGCGACACATCTTGAGAAAATAACATAAACATCGCATGTGTTAGTAAAGTGTTATAATGAGACTCAAATTTAGATATTTATACATGTGAAACATGTTTCTAGTTATAATTATCATTTAAATGGTGTGGTTTCCGAGTATTGAACAAAAGAAACATGAAACTGGAAAATTATAACTGTACACACTATATTTAGCTCCTTTGCTATTTGTCTAAAATGTTACTGTGTGATAGCTATTTCTTTCTTGTTATGCCCCTAATTTTTTTATATATTTATAAAACGAATGACAATAATGTAATTATTTTGAATGACTTGTTAAAAATGACCTTTTGGCACATTCCAGAACTGGTCAGAACTGAACTGGTTATTTGTATAATGTAAGATAAATTGAAGACTGTATTAATTTTATTTTTAACGAAAATTCGTCGTCAAATGCGTATAGTTTTGGGGCCTTAATTTTTATAAAGCAAAAAAGCAAAATGTCAATTATATTTGCATTGTATACTTAATTATACAGTAGAAAATAGTTAACTGATTTCTTGTCCAGTTTTGTGGTAAAGCGAAGGCCCCTGTTTTATTTAGAAGTGTTACAGCTCTTTTTTAATATAAAAAGGAAAGCTAAATATAACTTATAGGGAGTTGGGTTAGTTAAAACTAGTAAATTTGTGATACAACGGAGGGTTGAAGGCGTCCTTTTCTATGTCAAAGATGCAGTCAACAATATTCACATTTTATCGACAGCTACTAAGGCAGCCATTTTTTATCCAGTTAATTAATTCTTCAGATTGATTCAAATTCTTAAGATCTTTGTTATATAAATAAAAAATAATTTAATTTTTGGGGAAATGGAAAACAGTATTAGAAATTGTAAAATTATCGACCTTAGGGTTTTTGGCTGTATTGTAAGCTATCACACAGTAGCATTGATTTGTAAAATAAAACTCGTCAATATTAATTTGAGGTGTGGTCCTCGAAAAATTCTATAATTAAATTTAATGCAAGACTGAGTCATTATTGAATGACTTGGAGTGCCAATAAGTATTTCTAGTCTGCACAATTATGACAGTTATCGGTTTATCAGTAGTTTTTTTTTGTATGGGATGAGCAATCTTAAAAATGTGTCGAATTAGATTGAAATATTTAGGAAATATAAATGAGTTGGTGAAGAAAAAATCCAACTTATAATTTCTTGAAATGAAATTTACTCATATTAAGTACACATTCTAACTTTAAATTTAATATGTTTTTAATAATTGAAAATTTATGAATTATTATTGCGGGGTTTGTATTGTAAAGGTAAGATTTGGGTGTCTAAATAAAAAAATCTCCTTACATATAATAATTGTTTAATTGCTTACTGAATCATACCATCCATACCTAGGTACTCTAATATCATAATTTCATTCCAGTTATTAAATATTTGTTTTTTTTTTTAGTAAAGGCAAAAGTGTTTAATTTTTAATAAAAAATACTATATCCATTTATTAACAATTTTATAATAATTGTATATACTTTACGGACATCATCATTAATTACATCTAAAATCGATTTTTGTCCTGCTTTTTTTTATTTTTATTAGTGATAAATGCTGTGATATGTATTATTTTAAATTTTGAAACATCATATTTATTTCATAAAAGACAGCACAGAAATGTGTTTTATTTTACTATTCTAGGTGAAATTTTTTATTTATTTTTGTTTTGTGAATTTATTACTATTTTTAATATTTCGAGGACCTCCTAAGGATATAATTTTAGAATATCCAGAAATTTTTAATAGGTATCCACATGTTTTTCACTGGCCAAAGGATGTGGAATGTGCATAGGAAATTTATATTTTTTAAAAATATTAGATATTAAGTTAAAAAAGTAATTTAAGATAAACTGATTATTAATTTTAATTAAATTGCTTTTGGAAAACATAAAATTTTTCATTATTACTACCTTTTTAGGTTTAATTAACAAAATGCATTATTCTTATTTAAATTAACATTTATATTACAGTATTTTTTGCTTATATACATATTGCTTGGGCTTTACTTTATTTTTAAAGCTCGTATACCTAAATAAGCAATTACAATTGCTGTTAAACATCGATTGAGATTTATAAATTTAGATTTATTAATATAATAGAAAAGTTTATAATCTACTTAACGATCTTTTATTCGAAAATTTACTTTTAATGGAAATTCTAATAATTAACAAGTTTTATAATGTTTTTTATCTGCTAGTAATTATCTAATAGGATATTTTAAAGTTGAATATCTGTCCCAAACAAGTGTGTAATTAACAATGGTGCTAAGCATGAAAAAAAAAAGGTCTTGAGCAACAATATAGTGCGATCCTTGCTGCAATCTACCTTAAAATCTACAATATTAGCTTAAAATAGTTGTCTTGACCAGAACATCAAGAGCTTTGTCGTTTCATAAAAATGTTTATTACAACCTTATTCGGTGCAGGTACTCAATTGCTTTAGAAATATAATTACATTTTAATTTTGTCAAAACTCAAAACCTAGAATTCATAAAAATACTCCTGGACAAAACGAATATAATTATTAAGGTCCTATATTGTTTTTATTTTATGCAGAAATGTATACATATTAAATTTAATAGTTTGTTTAAATAAAGTACCTACTATATTCATGATATCTCTACTTTGTTTTTGTTAAAAATGGCGTTAAGTAGATTCTAGATACTAAGTAAAATTAGAATTTTCGTTTGTTTAACGATTGTATCACATATCAAAGACACGTTTGAAACTAGATATCGATGCTTTTGATTACACAATGATTTGATGTGCGATTTGATCTGAAGAAGATATTTAATTTTTGCACACCTTCAAGTGCGAATTTATTGGCTTTAAATGAATTCAGTGTATAATATGTGGATATTATGTAGATCTCTTAATTACTAGAAATAAGATTTCTCATTGCTAGGGTGTATATATGTAAACAAACAAAATGTTTTATTTATGCTTTATATTTATTCATTATTATACTCATACCAGCTTGCTGTACTTTCAATGTTGTTGGATTTATTTTGTAAGATTTATCATTTATAAATTTGTATTTCTGTTTTAATAAACGATTATTCATAATTTTTGAATTCTTTTTATGAACACATTCCATAATTTCTATTGAAAACGATACAGTGTATTATTTTTTATCATGATTTTACGTTGCTATATTAAAAACACTGCAAACAGGGTAGTAAAAAGTCTTACAAACTAATAATAATAATAATACTCTCCCTAATTCACCCCCTTACGAGTGAATTTAAACCCCTGAAGTCGACTGAACGACTTGTGTAGGGGAAGGGACGGCTATTATTATTATTTGCCGTGGCGCTCCGGGGCGACTTAAAGATGATTGATGGTGCCATTTGACTTACAGGTGAGGAAAACCCGGAAAACCTCACCCACCATCATCGAGACGGTAATGTATGGCGAATTTTTTTAATCTGCATGTCATCAACAGAAATTGAATTTCTATTAATACGCCACACATCAAATCCTAAACCGAACCATGCAATTTAATTAAAAATCCACATGGTCCGGTCTGGGATTCGAAACCCAGCAGTCTCAGACTCATAAACTTGCCTATAAATGAATATAAGCGCGATAGACCGCTACACCACCGTCCCGATAAATAATAATAAATAAATATATAATAATAAATGTATAATTATGAAATTAATGTAGGGTGATGAATTGTAAAGTCTATAATACTTTAGGTTAAGACATGAAAATCATGTTAGATTTTTTTTTAAATATATCCCCCGTTACCTATCTAAACATTTAGATTTGACTCAAATTAAAAAGTAACAAAATTGTATACGGAAATTCCAAAGACATTTATTGTTGTAACTTATTTTTCACGTCTCTTTTCAAATATGCAAACAAATTTTCAAATTTCTGGTATCGCCATCTATACTTAGTAAGCAAAATCAAAAATTACATCTAGTGAAAATTCACGATGGTTTGCGTTCGCGCCTAAACTTTGATATATTTAGTGGATGTCCATGGAATATTGAATACACCTTAAAAAAAATTAATTTTAAATATCTGAACGGTACTATTAGCCACAATGGCGTAATTTTTTAATAATTTGCTATATAATTACTATTATTTATGGACATTTGCATGTCTATAAATTACATCTCATGGATATAAAATAGATATACACCATGGACTGGTGGATATTGGGATGTCCAGTAGATATCCAAAGGATTTGGTGTTCTGTCTGGGGAGACACTGTTTTGAAATAAATCAAATTTGTACATTAAGTCAGGACGTGGACTTTTATTTATATTTACAGTGTGGTTAGTTATGAAGAAACTAGCAAAATGGATAAATCACCTTGTATCTTGATTCTAAAGATTTATAGGTTATTTGGAACCGATTTGGTGTACCATATCTACCCCTAATGTAAATGTTGTACTATCTTAAATAATTCTTTGTTTCGTAGTTTCTTTTTTATGTAGGTGCGCTTACCGAGATACAGTCGTTGCAATAACAGACGGATATCCTTTATGTTTCAGCATCACCTAGGGTCCCAGTAAACGACAAATAGTCGTCATTCGCTCGGCCTGACACCGGCAAGGACGGTAAGCCGAGTATTCGGATTGCCGTTGTCGGGGTTTCTTCTGAGTCGGGAAAACCGTAGCATTTGACGTAATTTAGTAGTAGAAACCACATATGGTCCATATTTGGCTTTTCAGACATGGGAGACATCCTTACGGGCCGAACGTGGTAAATATTTGGCTAACCGGGCATGGGAGCCATCCTTACGGGCCGAATTATATATAGATATATGAACGCGTCTACAATTTAGTGGGCTGCCGACATTCGGCCGGGCAGACATGCCCTACCTATATGCCGAAGCTGTACCCGTATATCGGGTCGAGTCCGGCATCCGGCAAGCCTCCTTCGGCCCAGTTACGGTGCCGATTAACTGTGTTTATTAGGGTGGGCGGTTTATGTAGTGTAGTCCTACTAGAATAGAGCCGGATCAATACCAGCGAACTACCCCTTATGTACAGATCTATCTACGGTGCGAAGAGTGAAGAGATAGGGTTCGATTACAATTAGACGAACACCGCTACGTCATAATTATTACTTCGAATTTCGAATACATATTAGGTCTTTTCCTTTGCATCGAAAGTGTAGCACTGAGCTGCACCACTTCTGAAAATATCGTTCCATTTATACAAATTGTATGGATGGAACAATATTTTCAGAAGTGACTTAGCTCAGTGCTACACTGTCGATGCAAAGGAAAAGACCTAATATCTATAACCATCAATAAATAAAAAATAAGTAAGTTGTTAGGTATAAAATAATATTTCCTATATTCCTATAATAATTAACACTCCACTAAACCCCCAGTAGGTGGCGATAACCAATTAATTACTTTGCCAAATGATGACTTAGCTGTGTTCTTTTAATTGTAATCGGACGAAGTGTCATTTACCTCAATCAGCTGAGGGGTGAATTTAATAGCTATTAGCAAGGGTGTATCGGCACTTCGGTACACCAAATTCTTAAATAGTTTTAAGCTGGTCTAATAAAACAGCCAAAAAAGTAGAGAGAGAGTAGAACAATAAGGTACCGTCTGCGCATCCATCACGAGTGTAGAAATTATGCATGATTCAACCTTCCACTCTTACATACGTAAATGACAAGGAGAGGTTGGTCTAAAGCACTGTAAACAAATTCCAGGATTGGCTTTGTTCAGCGATTATGTTCAGCTCTGTTTTTTGGTTGTGTTGTGGCTGTTGTAAGCTTTTTTGGCGTCAATTCTTTGTTATCTTTCTCATATTTGTGCTCTGATTTCGATTTAGTATTAAATTATACTTCTTAATTATTTCTCGATGTACTATTTTATAATTGTTGCACTAAATGTTCTTAAACCGTCCCTGAATCTTGTTTATAAAATGTGCAAAACGAAATTATACATAGTGTCTATACTTTTTCATTGACACTTATCAAATGCATACTGCGACGAGTCCATCTAACGGCCCAAATGTGACGTTAATGAACAATACATTTCTACAATAATGAATAATACAACGACCTCTTTTAAATTATTGACTCACTATCTATTTCTGAATTTTTTATATTGTTGTTGATACGTGAAAGTGTTGCTGTTTTTGATCTATTGAAGGGGCATCGAGACATATAACACCGGGACGTTGAGCGTCGGAATGTAGAGCGGCGGAGTATAGAGGGCGTCGGGATGCAGATCGGCGGGATATAGAGGGCGTCGGGATGCAGAGCGCCGTATAAGAGAACGTCGTGAGATAGAAAGGTAGGGAAGTAAGGACGTAGAGCGTCGAATAGGATATAGGCCATCGGGACGTAGAGCGTCGGAAAAAAGAAATGACGTCGAGACGTAACAACGTTCGGGAGATAGGTCATCAGGACGTATAACGTCGCGACGTAGGAGTGTCGATAGGAGAATACTGAACTTGAAATTACACTAAATTTGAAGAGTAATGAATGACTGGAGTTTGAAATCATCTGAACTGAGTTTGACTTCTTAATGAATTTCGAGTCTTTTCGGGATTGGGTCTTTATACCCGATTTTTAATGACTTTTTGTGACGTCAACTTGTCGCAACTCCGGTGGAAACGAATTTGGGTGGATAGAAAAAGGGTGGTCGATTTATTACTTGCAAAATTTATGTGTCGAAAACAATGTTACTATTCTAGCTTGACTTAAGATAAGTGCGTTAACTGTTTCATTGATTATTACTTCGTGACAAAATTTATGTTTTATGATGGTTTCGGGTTGGGTTTCCAGACACTTGCAAGAAAATTGGATCTCTTACGGCAGGGTTATAGATATTATTTATTTAGGTGTCGTAAATAAGAGTTTTTCGTTAAATGAAGGATTTTGAATTTAATAAGAATTCAATTTTTTCTTTAATAAATGGAATTCATAAATCATGAAGGTACCTGGGTGCGGTAGGTTACAGTACCTACGTTATAAATAAAAACGACCTTGTACAAAGTACTCCGCAGATGTTCCGACCATGCTCAACATCTAATCAGATCACCACAGGATGCAATAAAGCTTAAGTTTAGAATTTGGTATTTTTCTGTTTATCCGTTCACGAGTTATTGAATGTAAAAATTCGTCGTAAATTTGAGGTCGAAAAAAAATTATTCCTATACTTTCCTGTATACAGACAGGAAAATAAAAAGTACTACATTACTAATGTAATAATTGTTACATTGATTTACAAAAGTAATTAAAACAAAAAAATAATTTCTTGTTCAAAGTGTTTGTCATGTGTTTCTTGGTAATAATACAATCTATCCAGGAATCTCCAAATACAATTGTTGGAGAAAATGGTATCCAAATATTATCTAACGATTCCGTGATAGTGTGCGTGCGGTCATCCTGTTGAAAATAGACGTTTACATTTGGAAATAAATTGTTGATTTCAGGTATAATTTGATGCTGGAGAAGATCAAGATGTTTTACGCCGTCAATAAAAAACGGAATTACATTCATATACTCACGCAAACTCACGCAAAAATTAAAATAAATCACCAGCAATCATTTATATAAAATTGATTACACATGTACAATTCACGTGGAGAGGGGTAGAATGATAAGGTTAATGAAAAAGTAAAGACACAGCACAATTTCGTTTTGCACATTTTGTAAACAAGATTCTGGGACGGTTTAAGAACATTTTGTGCAACAATTATAAAATAGGGCGTCGGAATATAATTATTATCCGGTATAATTTAATACTAAATAGAAATCAAAGCACAAATATAAACAAGCCAATAAAGAAGTGACTCCAAAAATGCTTACAACAGCCACAGCATACACAAAAAACAAAGCTGAACATGTACATCATAGCTAAACAAAGCCAAGCCTGGAATTTGTTTACTGTGCTTTAGGACAACCTCTTCTCGTCATTTAATTCAGTAATAGTGGAAGGTTGAATCATGCATAATTTCTAAACTTGTCATGAATGCGCAGACGGTACCTTATTCTACCCTCCTACTTCTTTGAAACAAACAAACCCAACCAAACAAATTTTTGCGGCTAAAACCACCGTTTAAAGATTATGATATCTATAAATATTTTGATTTCTATAAATATTTTGATTATTTGGCGGTTTCAATATTATTTGAGGTGATGCAGATTTCATACTGTTATCAAGAGATTGAAAATGAAAAACAATTTTTTTTTAATTTTATACTACTATACAAATACGCCAAATGTTTTTTCCTTAATATAATTTTTTATTAAGTGCACCTGCTAGTTCAACATTTTCTGAACGAATTTTTTTTGTGACGGCTACTAAATGTCACAACGAAAGAAATCGGAGCTCCACAGGACTAATTCATTCAGAGCTGTTATTATATTTTTCTACACCCGTATTATAATAATGCACTTATATGCCCATAATCCGTTTCATAATGATACCCATTATGATACAGATTTTTCATTATGATACAGATTTTTAATCAATAGAAACCTACAATTTTTCAATCAAGCATGATGTTTGACGTTTGTCCTAAATTCCTATGTAATTGTTTTAGTTGTCAAAACGTATTAAATTTTCGTAGATAGCTAAACTTCGATAATTATAATATTAAAATGTCTGATATCAGCGATATAGAACACTCCTCCACACATATAGGAGAAAGGAGAAAATGCAGTACAAAATATTTTGCCCCAAAAATCTGTGGTAATACCAGTACCCAAGGTAATACCATTAATTACAATTTTGTAGAATTTTTTATAGAAATACGAGTAATTACTGTTATTGTGTTCAATACCAATATAAATAGAATATTTATAGGTCTTGATTATTTATCGGGTGTAGAAAAAATAGCGTATGCAACTCTCATGTAATGGTTATTAAAACACTCGCATAAATCATACGAAACTCGCCTTTGGCTCGTTTCGTATCCCGGTTAATGCTCGTGTATTAATAACCATCATTACATGATCGTTGCATAATATACTATTTTCTACACCCGTATTATAATAATGCACTTATATGCCCATAATCCGTTTCATAATGATACCCATTATGATACAGATTTTTCATTATGATACAGATTTTTAATCAATAGAAACCTACAATTTTTCAATCAAGCATGATGTTTGACGTTTGTCCTAAATTCCTATGTAATTGTTTTAGTTGTCAAAACGTATTAAATTTTCGTAGATAGCTAAACTTCGATAATTATAATATTAAAATGTCTGATATCAGCGATATAGAACAACTCCTCCACACATATAGGAGAAAGGAGAAAATGCAGTACAAAATATTTTGCCCCAAAAATCTGTGGTAATACCAGTACCCAAGGTAATACCATTAATTACAATTTTGTAGAATTTTTTATAGAAATACGAGTAATTACTGTTATTGTGTTCAATACCAATATAAATAGAATATTTATAGGTCTTGATTATTTATCGGGTGTAGAAAAAATAGCGTATGCAACTCTCATGTAATGGTTATTAAAACACTCGCATAAATCATACGAAACTCGCCTTTGGCTCGTTTCGTATCCCGGTTAATGCTCGTGTATTAATAACCATCATTACATGATCGTTGCATAATATACTATTTTTCTACACCCATATGGATTTTAGTTATTTTACGCATAGACTACAAACCGAAAAAGTATACCATTGCGTTCAACTGAACGAATATATTTCATGTCCATTATACCCACATACTTCTTTTATTATACGGAGAATGGTCGCACTGCGCAGCTTTCTGAGTGCCTTTTAAAAGGAGTTAGAAAACTCCGCCATTTTGAACCCTTATTACGTGTTGCCTACATCTTGGGCGCAATATTTTTAATAGGTGCGTTTTAATCATCCGCTTCTGCTTCGGAATTGTCGGTTTTCTTGTTTTAATCTGACAGGTTAAAACGACTAAACCGACAATTCCGGAAGCAGAAGCGGATGATTAGGATTGGAGTCTAATTAAGGAGGTCCTTTCGCCACCAATGTTAAATAAAAAATATTAGATTATGACTAAAATTAATTTTTTTCTAATAGTAGATGTCCTTATTTATCTAATAGTATACTTTTAACTATACCTTACCGTGCAAATTTTTGAGAAATTTTTTTTTTAAAAATGTGTGTGTTTGTACAGTGTCTTATGAGAAAGTAATACTTCAACAACAATTTTCGAATTATAATTAATTTTACTATTATTTATTGATTAGATGGAGTAGAAAAAAACTAAAAATAAGGTTTTTGAAATATTTAGGTTTTGTTTTTTACAATAAAATATATAGGTTACCGTGGAATTTATTGAGAAATTATTATTAAAAAATCACAAAAAATTTTGAACTAGGTTACTTGAAAATTTTTTGTGATTTTTACTTTCCTATCTGTATACAGATATAAGGAAAGTATAGGAATCATGATTTTTTTCGACCTCGAGTTTTCGACGGATTTTTACGTTTTGAGGTCCCCTGAATCCGTTTTGACTATTTTCGCGATGATGTCTGTGTGTGTGTGTGTGTGTGTGTGTGTGTGTGTGTGTGTGTGTGTGTGTGTGTGTGTGTGTGTGTGTGTGTGTGTGTGTGTGTGTGTGTGTGTGTGTGTGTGTGTGTGTGTGTGTGTGTCTGTGTGTCTGTGTGTCTGTGTGTGTGTGTGTGTGTGTGTGTGTGTGTGTGTCTGTATAACGCATAACTCATGAACCGATACACAGAAAAACACCAAATTTTAAACTTAAGCTTTGTTTCAGCGTCCAATGAGCTGATTAGATTTTGGGCAGAGTCGGAACATCTGGGGGGGTACTTTATAGGTGGTCATTTTTATATTTTATGGAATATATCTGTTATTTACGTTTGGAGAAGAAAATTCTTCAAATAAAAGGTACTTCTAATATAATTATCTATAATTTTTGTTATATGCAAAATTTTCCTAAAATGGTCCGTATTCGAGAAATTTGACAAAATGTAAAAAAAATAATTTTTTATAAAAATTGTTCAAATAAAAGTTGTTTGTAATATAATTCTCTATAATTTTTATTCTATACATAATTTCTCTAAAATGGACCGTATTCGAGATATTTGAGAAAATGTGTAAATTTCGAATTTTGAAGAAAACTCAAAAACGGATATAGAAAAAAACATTAAATTTTAAACTTAAGGTTTATTTCGGCCTGACGTGCAATGATTAGATTTTGGACAAAGTCGGAACATCTGGGGGGGTACTTTATGGGAGACCGTTTTTATATTTTATGGAATATATCTGTTATTTATGTTTGGAGAAGAAAATTGTTCAATTAACAGTTACTTCTAATATTATTTTCTATAATTTTTGTTTTATGTCAAAATTTCCTGAAATGGTCCGTATTCGAGAAATTTGACAAAATGTGCAAAATTCTGATTTTTTTTTGTTTTTACGTAATAACTAGATAGGAAAGTCATGTGTTGGACACATCAGATTTTTTAATATGAATTTCTCAATAAGTTCCACGGTTTACTATATATTTTATTGTATAAAACAAAATATAAATATTTCAAAAACCTTATTTTAACATGTCAAATTAACTGTTAAGTCACAATTAGAAAAATAACTTTTAGTTTTTTAAATAACTCAAAAACTACATAACTTTTAATAATTTTAAAAACTAATCCGAGATTAGTAGCAAATTCTCTAAAATTATAGGCTCGAATTTCGTAGTTACATGTTAAAAACACATTTTCTTATGAATTAACGTTCAGTAAAACTTTATACCAATTTATAATGATTCCACTAATTATCTACCTACCATAGTTCTATTTATTCAAAAGCTATCTCAACATTATTTTTGTTAAAACATGCAACCTTGACTCATGCATTTCCATATAAAATTATAATGAATAAAAATACCGACTTCGTTGGAAAACACAGTTTGAAACAACTGCGTCGCTCTGTGTTACAACTTGAGCTTTTTATTAGATTCGCGATCTTACAGCCTGGCTTCAGTATCGTTTATTATTTCGAACTATTAGAATATAACAGCAAAACATATTTTGAGTTTGGAGTAGTTATTTTTAAATTTGAATATTTTACCGTGGTTTTGTTTTCGTTTGCCGATTTCGAATAAAACTTCCTTTGTTTAATTTTAAAGCAAAATGAGTGTTTCTTATTCACCTCTGAATCAAGGACAAGGCAATGACCGAAGAAACGAGCCAAACAATGTTCATTCTTCGAGTTCAGCTCCTATGGCGAGGGCCGAAATAGACGGTATGGATGACGAGTCCAAAACTGTTTCAGACAATAACGTTCCACATTTGGTAGTCACAGATCCACATTTGGTAGTCACAGAACCCGAGGCCCATGAAGAAAAATATAATGATGTTGGAGATGAATTTGATGGAAATGGAGAACGTATTAATCACGGAGATCTTAGGCCAAATACACCACAGTCATCTATTGGAAGGGTGCCGCCGCATTTAGGGTTACATTTTGATAATGAATTAGGAAGTATAGCGGGCGAAACCATTCCTGATATAAACGTTTACCAACATAAGAAGACTTTGGCACAGGGGATGATGGATTTGGCTTTATTTTCTGCAAATGCTAACCAATTGAGATACGTTTTGGATAGTTATACGAGGCATCCCTATTATTGGCCCAGCGTTATTTGTATATGTCTAAGTTTAGGATTTCAAGTAAGTTTGATTATAATTTAATGGTTATACCGGTAGATAAGGTGTTTCGCATATTAATGGATTTATTTATTGCAAATAATGATTCCTATATAACAGTAGTTTAAAAGTTGGATTATAATAGTTACATGTATTTTTTAGAATATTATTCTAAAATCATGGGCGTCCGCAGGATAAAAGTCAGGGAGGGCCAATCAAAAAAAGTTTTAGTTTTTCAATAACTAAATTGTATACAAAAATAACAATATTAACAAAATTAAAAGCCGTGTGGCAACCGTCCTCTGCCCCCTTCCGGGTGCCTTATGTCTAAAATAATGATTTTACTAAAATAATTGCTGAATTAGATAATCCATAATTTGTACCGTTTTACAAAAATTAAAAAACCAGTTCAGATACATTTTTAACAACAAACATTTTAATTCATATAAAAGAATGATGAGATTAACATATGCATTAATATGTCGTGTAAGTACGGTGATAATTGCGCATGATAATTGATAAATTTTTTCCGGTTCACAAAGTTATCTCGTCTGGTAAATCGAGGTCGCTCGTTTATACAAAGCGTTGTTTTTAAGATGGAATTATTATGAATGGCAATTATAATAAATGGCCTGCCATTACCTAAATTGCCGACGCTGAAAGACATCGGACCTTTGGTGAAATTCAGTTTTTCCTGGATATTCTTGTTTTTTTTTTTACTTAAAAATAAATAACATTTTCATTATTTTAATAATTTACACCTCTCTTTATGCAATTTAGTTAGTAATGTTTGGCAAAATCAGTATTTTAACCTCCCGCACGAATTTATTGCTTATCGAGATGCTCTCTGACACAATAAGTGTTTCACCCGGATACTTTTTGAAACCCTACTCGGACAAATCCGGACGGATGTCAGCCCTAATTATAATTAATAATTAATACTGAGTCATCTATGGGCCTTATTGCATAAAATACATTTCCTCTTTACGGCCCTATTTTTGTATTTTTCTGAAACATCTTGAATTAAATTCTAAACATGGCCGGTCGCCACCCTTAATGAATCACCCTGTATTAGTAGTAGTTTGATTAACAAAAAGGTATTTTTCGCATCTGAAATGGATTATGTTTTTCGATCATGTTCGCCTATCCCTCCACCACATAGGTATAGTGTATGTTGACGCGAAAATGGAAAATCCATGTTGTTTTGAAAGTGGACAGTCCGTTGTAGTAACAATTTTTTATTACTTCAATTACTCATGTATGTGTAAACCACGCGATTTTTCCTAAGAGTAAAAACATAATTATTTTATTTCAATATTTAATGCCTAAAAATTACAACAAATTTTTCTTTTGCTATTTCAATTGATCTATTTATATTTACTAGCTTTTAATTGTTGAATAATTTCGTCACTTTTCTCTACTTCAATTTCAATCTTATTTAATTTAAATTTTAAAATTGAAGGTATTTTTTATCTTTGTATACCGTTTCTAGTCATTTTTCAAACACATGAACTGACATAACCGTCTGAGGATGAGATCTTGCTCGAGTATGCTAAATAGTTACGTCATTATAACCTCATCCCCTTTGGTCCTTTGTTTCTGCAAAAATGGAAGATCATGATAATCTATCATAAAAGTTTATGTCGCGAAAAATACCTTAAATTGTTTATAAGTAACGTCAAAAGTCACTACTTTTTCGATTTATTTTAGTAAAACAAATATCAAAAAAAAACTGTCTGAATAACTGAATACCTTTAATTAAAGAATACACATTACTATTTCTGTTCAAGGTTATTGACGAGATAAACCAGATATTTCGCCACAGGTCACTTACTTTCGATAATCTGACGTAGGTACACAACTTTAATGTTTGATTTGCCGAATTGGTTAATTAAACAAGATATGAATTTATTTTAAAGTGTGCAGAATTGGAGAATATTTTAAAATTTAAATTAAAATTAGTCGAGGCTTTCAGCATTAAGCAAGGAATCTTCTGGTTCCCTTTGACAGAGGTCTAAAGCGCAATCATGGTTTTAATAATAGAGGTATAACACCAAGGAACTAAAGTGGCATTAAATTTTATCCGGAGGCGAAAAGTTTGTACTGGCCCGACCGGAGGGAGGACTGCAATTCGTCGAAGGATATAAAGACACTTAAGTTCTGTATGCATTTTTTGGAAAAGAAAAACTAAAAAAAAATAATGAAAATTATGAAAAATCACTTAACGATACTCTGATAACAAAGCTATGATGATATCAGTGCTAGGTTGTTATAGTGTTGACGTACATTGTACTTTGAACATTATTTTCGGTTGTATGGAATAAATACGAGGGCTGTTCAGAAAGTGATAGACGTTTTGCGCTGTCGCGGTAGTGAGTGGGATTAGCGCCGTCATCTTGGCGTCAGAGTTCTCCTAGACTCAGTACGCAACCATTTAAAGGTTGTTTACAGTGGTGTGTTGAAATGAGCGCTGCAATTGAAAATCCTGCCAGTTGTGAAGTACGGGCTGTAATAAGGTTTCTGTTAGCGAAAAATCGCAAACCAATTGACATTTATCTTCAGGGAAAACTCAGTATCAAAGTTTTGTTTTTCCACGACAATACTTTCCCACAACACACTGCCAATCGTACCCAAGAGCTTTTGAATCGTTTTGGATGGGAAGTTTCAAATCTGGGTCGTACAGACCGGATTTGGCGCCAAGCGACTACCACCTGTTCCCAGCGATGAAGACGTGGCTAGCTACACAACGCTCTGACACTGACCGGTGTAAACCAGTGGTTAAACACGCAGGAGGCAGATTTCTACAGAGAGGATATTGAAAAGCTTATACCACATTATGATAAATGCCTTAATTTCAATTACGATTAAGTAGAAAAATAGCCTAAGAGTTTATCTTGAAAATTTATAAAATAAAAATTGTTTTTTCTACATTGTTAATGGGTTATTTAAAAACGTCAATTACTTTCTGGACCGCCCTCGTATATTCTACTTTTAATCCCATGGTAGATGGTAGACAATGAATAATAATTGTCAAAGTCCAGTTTTGAAATAAATGTAGGTTTCGCAGTGTAGTTTCAATGATTATTTAATTATATAATACATCAACCAATGACAATTCTAGTTTATTCCAACACACGCCAATCAAAACCTAAATACATTGAATCGTGCTCTGTTTTCACTCAATCCCGCGAAAAGTCGATGTGAAGTTTGTCAAAAATGTTTTGGTTGTTCAAATATACATTGTAAAAAACGAATTAACATCAGTTTCGACATAATCTTTCGGAAACAAAGTAAATGTTTCTAAAAGTTATGTATATAATGTTAAATAATCTTTCCAAATAACACCCGAGGTGAGATTTTTCGAATTTTAAATTTACATGCATAATTTCAAAAGAAACAACAAAATTTTCTCAAAAAATGTTTACCTCTTGTATTACCCGTGATAATGTAGATATTGATGAATATCGCCATAAGATTAGTTGGAAATTAGTAAAAATCAACATTTAAATCAAGGAACTTATACTACTTTTACCATCCATTGAATTTGATTACAATTTTTTTCTAAAATCCCAAGTTTATTGTAAATGTTTGTAAACGATTGCTACTTGAAAAGTTCAAAGCCATTTTATGAACCCACTCTGTCTTTTTTTATTTTTGTAACTCTATATTATACATTTGTTAAATATGTATTAAAATGTGTACCCGATTTTGAGTTATATTGCCCAAAAATTATAATTTTATCCATTAATAATTGTGTTTTACAGGCAAAAAATGTTTTGATGTTTCAGGTGGCAATCGGCATTGGTTTAATCTGGAACGCTTTGTACAATGTCAGAGATGCGAAAGAAATATGCATTGCGAATAAAATTAATAACTGGTGCGTTATTGGAATCTTCTTGGTAGTGGTGATAAACGTTTTTGTATCATCGTTTGGAGTCGCAGATCCCCCAACACTTCCTACAGCACCAGTACTGGCAGTGCCAAGTGGATAACTGTCTTATAAAGCTACAATGTATTTCGGACAAGATTAAATTTTCAATAAAAATGTTTCCAAAGTAGGCCATGATTGACAGAAATACGAGTCATGTCCGTGATAATAAATAAAATCCAAACTGAAAAAATGTAATGCTTTTACATAGATGAATTTTTCGAAGAACTAATTTATGAATCCTTTTTTTTTGTGGATCACACAGTACCTATTCATAGTGGTAATGTAATTATACACAGTAACAAATAACGTCACTAATGATAAAAACAATAATATTAAAAAGGAAGTTTATTACAACAAACGTTAAACAAAATAAATAAAATATTTTTTCTGTGACAGGAAAAAAGTTTGACATTTTATCTCTCTTGTCAGGTAACAAAATGTCACTTCTTATGAAATTATTTTTTTCCCCCGTTTCCTGGAAAAAAGTGAGTACTTTTTTCCCGGATATTAATACACATAAGTAAAGGTAGATATTTTATAATATTTTTTTCAATATTAAATCGTCGTTTTTCCTGTCACAGAAAAAATAGTGTATTTTATTTTAAACATCGTTTTCAAAGGACTCCCTCTTAATAATGTGTGATACCTATGTGATACCATTTGATCTACCTATTACTTAAGTTGTAATTTTATATGTACCTATTTATTTACTTAAAGTAATGTTAGTGCCAGTGTTATTTGCTCAAAAATGATGTAATATTCAATTCTTTTGAACTAAATGTTACATTTAAAGACTGATGTCATATCAATTTATTTAATGTATTTAATTAAAATAAATTGTAAATAAAGTTTAAATTACAATTATGATTTGATTTATTTATTAGCAAATACAAGTTCTACATCTACAATATAATAGGTTTGTTCCCGAAGCGAGTTTCTAACATATTTGAGTATGCGCAGTACAAAATAACTGTTCCAGCAGAGCAAAGTTCCAAACAAATTGAACTTGTTTGGTGTTTCAGCAAGAATAAGAACTTGTTCATAAGATGTTTGTTATTAGTTCAAATAGTTCCTAAATAAAATACGAACGGTTACTTTCGCGCATGCGTGTTTAAAATCATTTTTCTTCTTTTTCGCCTTTGTTTTTGATTTGAGTTTTCCTTAGTTTTGTAAGTGTTGTATTTATTTTTGATTAAAAATCTTATACAGCGCTGTAGCAGCAAAAATATAATAAGGAGGGTAGTTTTTTATTTGAGGAATTTTAAGTTGATCATAAAGTAACCTCAAAATTCACTTTTTTAAATAAATATAATCGAATGACCAGTATTTAGTTAAAACACTCAGCCATATTTATTTTATTAAGGTTCCAGCACATTTATTCGGAACTCATTCAAAAAAATGTTAGTAACAAGTTTGGAACTCGTTTCGATAACAAACCTATTAGGTGTAAGTATCAAAATATCTATAACATGGGTCGAAATCTCGAAAATAATAATAAAATAATTTAATTTCTCATTTATTCTTAATAAAATAAAACGAAAAATTATTAGGTAATGCATTCTGAAATAAGCTATTACAGTTTTATAGTTTTCGCGCCTTAATTGCATGTTTTTCCAATAAATACGGATATGCCCAGAGTATACAGAAAAGATCATTTCAGTACTAGATCTGCACTATCCTACTAGTCGTCATAGAAAAAGATACATTTGAATAAGTTGATATAGGCTACCTACCTGTAACTGGCAACATTGATACTAGATAGTTTCTTTTGCATTTGCGAACTATACAAATGTAGCCACTTTTTTCTGACAGTTAAAACACCTATATACGTTATGTTCAATACTCGAATTCGGGTAATGTCCAAAATAAATGCGCAAAGCTAATTTTGCGCAACGGATAATTTCCAAACCCAAAATTGTACTCTTCTACGGCTAGTTTTGTATATTTTTGAATGATCAATACTACTTATACCTACTAGTTCTTTGTGTTAAAGTAGACCCCTTGAGAGCTAAATTTCCAAATAAAGCAAAAAATTACAAATTATGACTTGATACAGTTTTAATCGGGATGTGCGATGTGATAATATAAATCCACCACAATATACCTATATTCCCACGGCAAACTAACATTTTCAAACTCATGAGAGTGGCTCTTAGAGGGAAAGCCCACTCACGCGACAAGTCGCGCGCGACCTGCCGCATGCGATTTTTTAGGTGCGACTTTTAACAGACGACAAGCAGCGACACAGACGTTCAGTATCAAAATAGAGGTGGAAGAAGTAGTTACGGTGTTGTTTTATTTTGTTCGCCGGCGGAAAAAATTGAAACGACGTAGGTACTAGGTTCATCCATTATTTATAGACCCTTATGTAAAAGGCGCATTTAATTTATTACATAAGGATTTACGTCAACACGAAGATAAGTTCTTCAAATATTTCAGAATGAGAGTAGTGTCATTTGACGAACTGATGGCGCAGATTCCCGAACAAATATTTTTTTCGCTATTTTATTTCAATTAACTGCTCGATATTTGAGGTCGGTCTTGAATATCGGATATAAATTCATCTATATCAATACAACTGTCGGACATTTTTTCACTGGAACTGTCGAAAAGTTAACAGAAAACTCCAACTCTCAACTCGCGTTTCGCACGCGACTTAACGTTTGTATGAGTGATGCTCCATATGGATCGATGATAAAGCTGGCCGCGTGCGGCAGGAAAATCGCGGGATTGTCATTTTTAATTATCAGCCGCGTGCTACCACGCGCCGGAACCGCGTTAATGGGCTTTGAGTCATTTAATAACATCTAAAGTATTGCCGCACGCGGTGCCTCGCGATCAGTCGCGCGCGACCTGTCGCATGAGTGGGCTTTCCTTCTTTGATACGGGTTGTCACTATTTTACAATAAATATACAGGGTAGCTGTTAAAAATGGAACCAAACCTATAGTGCTTAAACGGTTCAACATACAAAATCCAAAATTTTAGAATTTCAACTAAATATATTTGCGCATATTTTAGCCCAAAAATTATTTTTCTTATAATTACAAAAGTTTAAGCATGGCCGCCATCTTGATTTTTTTAAATTGCAACATAGGTCATGTGATATACCATTTGAAAGGGTTTAACACCCTGATTAAAAAAAACACAACAGAAAGGATATTATTTAAAAAAATCAAGATGGCCACCATGCTTAAAATTTTGTAATTATAAAAAAAAAATAATTTTTGTGCTAAAATATGAGCAAATGTATTTAGTTGAAATTCTGAAATTTTAGGTTTCGTATGTTAAACCGTTTAAGCACTATAGGTTTGGTTCCATCTTTAACAGCTACCCTGTATATTATTTAGAATTAAATACATTATTTTACTTACACTAGGAGCTTTAAAAAGACTTGGATTTTTATTTCCTTGTATTTTCTTTAATTTTATATCGGATTTATATCCTGTTTTTCAACCCGCAACGAAGCAAATCCTGCTTTGCCGTTTTTTGTTACTCATTGTTAGTTGTAGTCAGGTTCTTTATTTCAGCTTATTTTTATTCTTTTCACTAAATTTTACAAAAATCACTTTAATTCCCATTGACTTGCATAGAAAATAGACGTCGTTATTTTGCCACCCGCCAACTACAGTAGTTTTTTGGAACTCCATAAAAATAGTAACGGAAATTTAAAATTTGACCAAGACCGATTCGCCTCCTTATCTCTAGTCTTCATAGTTATCGCAAATGTCAATATATTCTCTGTCATTGTGAACCCCCTATTTGGGCCACAAACCGTAACTGTTTTAAACGTTTTAAACTATCTCGAAAACTGGTCGTAATATCGGATTTTAAATTCATAAATCTTAAAACGGTGTTAAAATTATTATACACCGAGAAAATGGTTACATTTGACCGGGGAAATTTTAGGGCGTTCGTGGTTTTTGTACTTTTTATTAAAAATAGAATATCTTTCAACTAATAAGTCGCCTTGTATATTTTGAAGCTTAGACGTACACATATTTTAATGATATTACTTTTCCCAAAAATCTATTCATATGTACAGGGTTTTAAAGTAATCCTTAAAAAAAATATTTTGTGGTTCTTACTATAAAACACCATGTATAAGAAACGCGTATTGTGCAATATTTGGTCGACATATTGAAAAGTACTTTTTGAAAATATGCTTCCCTAACGTCACAATAGAAAAAAAACTACCGTCATACATTTGTTAATCACCCTGTAATAAAAAATATTTTTAATTGTATTTATGTAATAATTTATTACAAAAATATGTGTATGCAACAGAAATTCAATCTAGCTAGTAAGTTGGAAAATAAAAATTCTGAAAAATTGAGAATCTTCAACTTTTTTCAGTATATCGTACAAATGCAATAATTATCGTGCGTCTTGCAACACTGCTCTCGCCTTTGACATGATTCCAATGAAGTGGAGAGGGGTAGAATGATAACTGTCAATGAAAAAGTATAGACACTATGCACAATTTCTTTTTGCACGTTTTGCAGGGACGGTTTAACAGCATTTTGTGCAACAATTATAAAATATTGCATCGGAAAATAATTAACAAGTATAATTTAATAGTAAATCAAAATCAAAACACAAAAAATCACAAATATAAGCAAGATAACAAAGAATTGACACCAAAAAAGCTTACAACAGCCACAACACAACAACAACAAAAAAAAAACAGCTGAACATGAACATAATCGCTGAACAAAGCCAATCCTGGAATTTTTTTACAGTGCTTTAGGGCAACCTCTCCTTATCATGTACGTGTGTAAGAGTGGAAGGTTGAATCATGCATATTTTCTACACTCGTGATGGATGCGTAGACGGTACTTTATCATTCTACCCTCTCTACTTCTTTGCATGATTCCTTATATTTTAGTCGAGTGACATGTGCAGTAAGGTCAAATCGTGAAAGAGTACTCACACTCCTTCATTCATAGTTGCAGAATACGGCGCCAGTGATATATTATAGAATCAGAAGAAGAAAATGTACCACAAGAAGACGAAGCAAGGCTTCTTGCAGGGTGGCAGCTTCGCTGCCACCTGAAAATTTCAACTTTCAACCCATATCCGGCTTCGCCGCCGGCATAGACTCCAACGGCCTTGGACACAGTTCAAATTGTTTATTAATAAAATCAAATAATTAGGTAAATTAAACTTTTAATTTGCAAATTAACGTGATAGAAGGCAAATGCTAAAGACAAACACGTTAGGAATTCAAGGTTAAGTATTTACTACCTTACTTTTTATACGGGTTTGGAAGTGGTTTAATTAAAACGAGTAGAACTATACCTAGTATTGATCATTCAAAAAGCATTACCCGAATTCGAGTATTATGCGTAACATATACATCGTGTTTCGGATTATCTGGCCCCAAAGTACCAAAGGGATCTCTGCTATCAGTTATAAATGATAAGTGTAATTTCTTCGGAGGATATAAAATTAACCAAATTGTATTTTTTTTTTGTATTTTCAGATAGCTGTTGGCATCGGTTTGATATGGAACGCATTATACGATATAAAAAATGAAGACGACTTGCACGTGGCCAATAGGATTAATAATTTCACCGTTATTGGAATTTTTTTAGTAGTAGTTCTAAATGTTTTTATTGCTGTTTTCGCTGTTGATGACTCAGCGTCTACAATAGTAGTAGCACCGTGAATGTAGCTATATAAATTTTTATATAATATAAGAAAGACATCATTACAATATGTGTATCGTAAAAGATCGTTATATCATCTTTTAATCTCTTTATTGTTAGTATTATTATTTAAGAATTATAATTCTTCAAACAAAAAAATGTGATTTGTGCTTTGGATTTGTGATTCGGCTTTATAGGTATTCAAAGGTTGAATTAAAATTAAAGTAAAATTAAGTTTAATAGAATTTGAAAAAACTATAAATACCTATTAGGTTTTTTTATCTTTTTCATCCACTTTGTATTCTATTTTGTTTTGGTGTTGGATTCATTCTCTTTGATCTATTTTTTCATATTTTTGGTTACTTTGATGTTCCCATAGGATGTCCCTCATTGTTTTTTCCTTTTTCTGTATATTATGACAACTAGTTTGTTTGAATCTATAAGTCTTCATATTTTGTACCACCCTTCGTTGTAAAATAGTAGCAAAAATAAATACAGTGTGTTATATTAAAATATGCATTTACATATTAAAACTGACACACATTTTAAAATATAAAAATGGGTCATTATTCTCTTTCCTAAAATAATTATTTTATGCTAGACTACCAATATTAAACCTTACTCGTCAGTATTACCTAAGATTTTGTGATAATAGCAAGAAAAAATCAAATCTCCAATAAGAAAAAATCACGAAAACTAGTTATGCACATAATTGTGTTCCAATGAACATCTTTTTTAAAGGTAATACACCAGGAGCCCTTTAAATTTTATCAATTAAATTAAGATTCCACGAAAACGTCTTTATTTGGAAAAATTAGGAAAACAAACCTCAAAAAACTGATTAAATCGGTTTGTTCGAGTGGTTAATTTTGCCCCATGAAGTCGTTTTTGAGTATGACAACTCAAAACTTAATGGATAAAATATAAAAAGATCAAATTAATTTTTTGAATAATTTTCTATAAAAAAACAAAAAAATAAATATATTTGGAGTAGGTATTAATCTGTGTTTATTAAACATTATATAATTGTTTATTTTATTTATAGTAATATAATTTCCTTTGATATTCTGAAAAAATATGGCAACAGCGCATTACATCAACATTGTGCAAGCCTGAAAACCACAGACCATACCATTTACTGAAAATATTGGCAGCGATAATTTGACATTTGCCAAATTTTAAAATTCTTATTGTGTTGATTTCCGTGATTTCCTATAAAATGGAATGAGACTTCTTAATTTAGTTAATTTAGAATTGTTTAGTATTCAAAAAATTATTTTTAATGGTTAAAAATTGAGTGTTTGAGTGAGTTAATTGCATGTGTTAAAAGTGATTTAACAGAAAGAGGTTAGTTTTACTTATATTACTGATTTTAATTTGTGCAGTAAAATTACCTACCAATTATTTTAAAATTTTCTAACATAGATTTGAGGTACATTTTAGTTTAATAAAAGTAATATGTGTATAAGAAGTTCCTATAAGAATAGATGTTGGTTATGTTAAGGAACCTTAATAAATTTTGACCAAATGGAGAAACGGCGTTGCCAGATTTTCGACGAAATATCATCTGTCAACGCATCTTTCAGTAATTAGGCGCGCATTTTTAAATATCCTATGAATCTTGTGAGATCATTTTATTTATTTCAATTAGTATTCTTAATTTGGATATTTTTGAGTTGTAGTTATACTTTTGAGTTAAATGTGTTATATTTTTAATCATCATATTTAGATATATAGGATGTTTCAACGAAAACGAACACAAGAAAGACATGGACTTTTTTAAAAACACGACAGTTTGTCTTCTGACAAAATTATTAATATCTAGCCCAGTATTAAATGTTTAGAATAAGTAGTCACCTCTTTTTTTAATATTATGCATGTTGTACCGTCTACATGTACAATTTCAAAGGTTTTAATTATCTATCCATCGATGTGTAAATATTTCAATTGATATAGGTATTGACTCCCCATAGCATTAGATTATTTTAAGGTCTCCTCCAACGACATTTATTCACTATCTTATGAGAAGGAAAATACAATCAAATTATGATTAAATATTTTTTATTAAAAAAATAGTACCATTTTTTTAGAACATCATGTTGAGACTATAGAAAATATTTATTAAGTATAATAATAGTACTCCTCCTATAATTCACTCGATTACGAGTGAATTTAAGGCCAAGTTCAACGCGTTGTCAATGTCAAGTGACAGAGACTTTTTTATCATAAAAATACAGCTCTGATCGATAATGTTTTGAGAAATTGTTTTTAAAAATGGGTTCAGAGCACGGTAAAGAATGGTGGAAAGTCTATAGTTTGTTTTACTTTTAATGCTTAATATTTTAATAAGTGATAGACTTTCCACCATTTTTCATACTATTTAAAAGCTAAAATTCAAAATAAACTGTTTTATTTTTGCCTTAATTATTTCAGGAATTAGATTTAAAAATTTACTGGCGCCAATTTGCAACCGTGCTAATTCGAGACATACGTTTTATTAAATTCATCGTGTTACGTATTTGTTGACATTATGAGATAGAAATTTAAAATGATGTCGTATTACTTTCTAATGACAAATCGTTTTCTCACCTAAGAAAAAAGTTGAATTGGGCCTTAACTCCAGAAGCTGTCCATTATTATTATAGAATGGACAATGGCCAATCAAATTCGGAGATAAACAAAAGTGTCTTCCGTGTACGTTTTACTTATAAGGATAGATAGGAAAAAAACAGCCACAAATTTCAGAAAAAATATGTATTTATAGGTGAATGTAAACATAGCGGGTAATAAATAAACACTCCTTTCAAAAATTTCATTTAAATCTACAACGTGATTCGGTAAACACAACACTTAATTATTGTGCATAATACAATAGATAATATTCTTAAATGTACATTTTAATAAACCTGACTAGATTACACTCGTTCAAAGAACTCGTTTCAAACAAAATTAACAACGAAATAAAACGACGACAAATCGGATAATATTTGCTGCTGCAAATAAATCGATGTTCTTACAATAAATAAAATAAATAAAGCAGTTAAGTATTAAAAAGGCTTAATACCTATCAATTTCATCTAACCATGGATATCAAAGATGGCCTTACGTGTTTGCAATATGGCTGATAATTTGACAGGTATCCACCAATAATTTTAAGGAATATTTTTGATATTCATCTGTGATATATCCTAGATGTCAGGCATATTTCACGGTGAACGTTTTTGTTACCAGACTTTTGATTTTAAAGAGATTTAGTATTGGCTGCCAGGCATGACGCTCCACATCAACCTCTTGAAAGATCCGCTTTGCTGGATTACCTCAGGATCATTACCAAGTGCGCTAGTATATTGAGGGTTCTGATTCACCACTAGTATAGGTTTCTGTAAAAGAGTGACTACATTAATAAATATGACGTATTTTTTATAAGAGGCAATACGTGTGTCGTTTTATCCAACTGTTGCAGCAACGTTGGCATCGGTGCGGTATCTAGCTGTCTTTTTTTCATCAATCTATCATATAGATGAACTAACAGTGCTCTTTTTTTATCCAACGTTGCTGCAATCGATACAACATTAATCCAGCAGTTTCTATATGTATATGGTTTTTCCGATTAGATGTGACAAGTAACAGCTGGATTATGGGAATTAAGCAGAATGAAGGAGTTAATTAATTATTTTATTATTCTATTGTGGGAAAAACCGAAAAAATACATTCTTTCAAATTAAGGTAAATAGGTACATTCAAATAAAATTATAAACACAAATTTTAATCCAAAATGTCAACTGGGGTGCGTTCAGAAATGTAGGGTAAATGCGTCCGGACGTTGTCTAAATTGTAAAAAGCGTTCCTAAATATAGAACGTTTTATCTGGACGAATTACCCCAGCCGTTCCTATTTAAAAGAAAAACGCGTCGGATGAAGACATTTTACCCACCGTATTGAGTACGGTAATTTTTACTCGACTTGCCCAGTATGTCAACCCTAATTAACTTAAGAGAACCACCTAGTATTTAATTTTCTATTTTTACTTTTTGAGTAAAAAATATTTAAATATGATTATGAGTGAGAGAATTAATTTCATCAATTATCGTCTAGTTGTCAGAAGCTATGGTAATTTTATTATAGAAAATTGTAAAATTTAATGACACAGGATTAAAGGTAATGAATTGAATTTTTATATAAAAAAGTCTATGTGGACGTCAATGATGATTTATACTTTTTGAAAATTCCTACAATCTCAGATAACAGAAAAGGCATAACCAAAAACTTGACTTGACAATACTTTGTATTTACCGTTCGTATTTATCGGGCAAAAATAAACGTTCCGACGAAGTTTGTCCGGACGATTAAAAATTTGACGCTCTCGATTTCTGAACGCACCCCGTTATTTATTTCAACGATCAATCATAAATAAACCGAATCCAACACAAGGCGTTCAAGGTCGCATCGGTAAAACAAGGATTCCAACAAACCGATGGAAAAAAAGACACCACGTAATGGTTTCTTTGCAGTCTCAGCAAACTATTAATAGACAAAATCATTCTTGTAACTCAAGACCTTTTTAATGCATTAAATTACAAAAAGCAGCTATCCGTTAGTAGAATTACATCAGGGGAATTACATGACAATCATATTAGGAGAAATATTGGAAGAATTACAGTTTTAATATAAATGAATAATATTGGGCCGATAACGATTTAAGTGCAAATGCGTTATAATGTAATTTGGTGTATTATTGCCATTGCTATTACAAATATTATTTATCGTATATTACTTTCTAGGATATACCCTACGTTTTACATTAAAGTATTTGTATAATTCCGTTTTTATCTTACATGTACAAGTTAAAAGTATTCCACTAAAAATGATACATTAATATATTTTCATTTTGTTTCGTTTAAAAATGTTACCGTCGTTATCATACATGGCTGACACTTATGGCTTGTTCCTGACTGAATAATTATCGATTTTAAAAGTGTACAAACATAGTGGTGCAATTTACACATTGCCGCGCCGCTTGTCTTGTAAAATACCTTGCCGTCACTCTACCTTGTGACACACAACATGTCGCCTTTGTCCTCTATCAGTATTTCTATTTTAATATACCGGCCTTGAGACAACCAGTTATGGAGCTTGTTTGAGGTATTTTTCTTAAAGGAAAAAAGGCATTTCAAAAAGTTGTCTCAGCCATTTTCTTTGGGGACTGTCACCATTGATATATTCCTTTAACCAAGCCCAAATATTCTCCTGATTTGGCACCCTCGAGATTTCCAGCTGTTCCCAAACTTGAATACATTTGTTTCTGTGAAGTACATTGCGTCCAATGGAGAAGATGAGAGGGCTGTAAACTCTCACTTCCGGGAAGGAATTTCTGATGAGAAACGCTGGATCAAGTGTGTTGAAGTCAAAGGAGATTATGTTGAAAAATAAATTAATTTTTTAACTGAAAATCGCAGTGTTTCATTGTCAGGCCGAGAAATTTTCACCTACTTCAATCATTTAAATTATTATAAGAAAACTGTTAGTAAATAAAAATAAAGAATTGTAATGTTAGTAGTAAATAGGTATCGAAAATGCAAAGCTTTACGTACTTGCGAAGCTAGCTAGCCAAGGGAAGCAAGGTTGCTACATTACATTGCCTTTACCTTTCCAGGAATCGATTTGTTCGGGGCGTAAACTCTACTTTGAGGAGGAACGTTTACTTCTTGGACATAATCACCTAGTTCTTCTTCTTGAAGGGCCTTGTATGTCTCACTTTCAGATGGGTTGAATTTCACTTGTCTACGGGGTTGTCTAAAACAAGAAACTATAATAACTAGATAGGAAAGTCATGTGTTGGACACATCAGATTTTTGTTGTTAAAAAGGGGGTACCTCAGGAGTGGTCCCTTATAAATTTGGTCAAAATCTGCTAATGGGATCTATAAGAAACTCAGCAAACTCAATATGTAATGGCATCTGCACGATTTTGAAGTTAGTTTTTTAAAATTATTAATTTAACATGTTTCTTTTGTGATTTTTATACATAATATATTTGATAAAAATATTGTACTTACGCTTTTACTCCCGTCTGTTTATGAATGGTGTCGACTAGATTTGGTTCACTGTACAAGTTTAATGGAGAATTGAATTGTTTGTGTACAAGCTGAAAAATAATAAAAATACGTAAAATAATTGACCTCGAAATATTGGTATATTGGAATTAGACAAAAAATTGATAGTCTTAATGTCCAGCAAAGAGTAAATTTTAGTTAAAAAATAGGACTATCGGTGCAATACATGACCAACTCACAAAAATATGATTTTTTATGCAATACAATCAAATTCAAGGCTTAATTCCTGCCGGAAAGGTATGACATTTATGGTGTTTATAAATTTAATTGAAAAGGTACGTGAAAAAGTTCTAAGGTAGGCAGGTGATTTGATGAGTTATGGTTAGAAAATCTCCAAATAAGTCAGGTTTATTTATTTAATTAGATATCAAACCTACTGTAAGAACAGAAATGAAAACAAATGAATTTAAAATGAATGTATATTACAGTTTAATTTTGACTCGATGTATCTTTTAAATCAATTAAATAAATGAAGGAAACTTGGAGACAATATGCAATAACAAGCGAGGAAACAAATTTGGAAAAAAATAATAGAGAAATGATCAAAAACGTAATTATTATGGTTGTTTGACCAGTATTGATGTACTAATTGAAAAACAGTGAAGAAGTTGTGTAAGAATGCTGGGAACAAAATTGTGAATGTATAGGTTAAGTTAGAAGCAGCGCGTATAGCTCAAAACATGAGAGAACATAGGTGGATGGGATGAGGATAGAGAAGGGCGTTAGGAGACTTGTAAGGCTCATTCACTCTGACAAAGCTCATTTGCTCATACCACGCGCTAGATCAGCCATACTCAACCTGCGGCCCTCCAAGCTTTTTTGTGCAGTACCAAACCCTATTATTAGGAATGACCTACAGTCCTTTTTTGAAACAAATTGTCCCAAAGCTTCTTAAAACAAAATAAAAACCTTTTTTTTTAGAGAATATGTAAACTAAACCAAAATGAGATCCTTTTTTTGCTTTTGTGCTTTATTTACATTTCAAAAAGGTGGCAACTTTGGTTATCACCCAAAAATATTGTGGCCCATAACAAACAATTTTATGTGACCCGAAAGAACAAAAGGTTGAGTACAGCTGCGCTAGATGGATATAACCCAATTGCCTTGGATAGTATGAAGGGGATGAGAGTATTACATTTTGTAGTCTAGTTGTTTTTTGTTTATTTTAGTATGATTTTCATTTGATAAAAATATCATATTTATGGGTTTGTCTAGCATTGCTTTCATAATCTTAATTGATTTTACAATAATTGTCACATGTTGTGTACATTAAAAATTTTAAGTTTCATATAAAAAAATATAGGATTTTAATTTAATATTGAAAACTGTTCATCAAGCAAAGAACATGCAAACATTTTTATAGGCTAAAATCCAAATTTTCGATGCATTAACAATAACCATGCATGGATGAAGACTAAAGAGTACAAATAAACAATTTGCGTTTTGGATAATTTTGAAGGAAAAATATTAATTTATGGAAAAATAGAAGGAAAAGTATAAAAGTATATCATATGGTAGATACCGCATATTTATAGAATAATAAACTAATGAGTCAATATTTTTTTAACGTTGTTTAGAAGTTATTAAAGTAAGTAACTTTTTCAAAAAACTCAAAAATAAAAAAAATCAGAAAAATTTGGGTCTGGCGACAACTGGTCCATTTCTACCAATCCATTAAGTTATGTTTAGAAACTCCCACATTTCCTGAATAATAACAGATCTGAATTTAGTTTTTTTTTTTAATTCTGTATGCTACCTGCATTTATTTTCGTACCCTTTATTCTGATAATACAGTCACTTGTAACCTAGTATCATCTAAGTCTCGTATTTGTCCCATGCGACCTACTTTCACTATTCCGAGACTCGAACTCCAAGCTATGCTTTTATACTTACGAAATTGACTAAGAAAATTGTTTCTATTTTTTTTAAAATATCTTTTGCTAATAATCCTCTACTTAAAGGGTCTGCAGCATTATCTGCTGAGCTAACGTGATGCCACTGCCAATTTGCGGACAATTCTTGTATCTGAGATACTCGATTAGCTACAAAAACTGACCAACGAGATGGGTGCGACTTAAGCCAACATAGACCTATCTGTGTGTCTGTCCATAAATGTATAGATTCAAAACATAGTTTAAAAAAAATAGAAACAATTTTCTTAGTCAATTTCGTAAGTATAAAAGCATAGCTTGGAGTTCGAGTCTCGGAATAGTGAAAGTAGGTCGCATGGGACAAATACGAGACTTAGATGATACTAGGTTACAAGTGACTGTATTATCAGAATAAAGGGTACGAAAATAAATGCAGGCAGCATAAGCTTTTATGCCCCAACCAGCATTGTCAAGTTCAGCTTAAAAATAATTTGGTTAATGTTTCAATAAGAACATAAGGTAACAAAATCATTTTTTGAAAATAAAGAACAATTTATGCCTTTTAGTTGCAAGTACTTTTAATCTTTTAATATTGCTATAATAGTAGTGTGTTGTATTTATTTATTTGTATTTAAATTCCTACAACTTTCATTATTTATATTTTCTTGTATAGACCTGAACTCTAGTGATTTTTTTGAAAAAGTTGATTATTTCAATTACGTCTATACACAGTTAAAATAGAAGTATTAACTTAGCAATCGCTCTATATATTTTATTCATAAAACATGCCAAAATCGTATTTTACACAATTATATGATACAGATAGCAGATGAAAACTATCAACAGAAACAAGAGGTTTTAAATTATTTAATAGAATATTAAGTGCAAACTATCCTCTTTTCAAACTGTATAAAATCATACTCTTGAAAATTGTTTCAGATTGTAGTTTAAAACTTACTATTCTGTATCAATTGTTCTGAAATAGAAATAAAGATGTGCGTAGTGGATAGTGAGAGAAGAATAACATAAAATCCAGCTTTATATGGTTTTAAAATAATATACCACACAAAAAAGGGGGAAAGGGACACTAGTTACTTAACCTGTTTATTTGGATCGCCAATTGAAATTCTTTCTAACACCGAGGATGCAACCTGTTTCAAAAAATAAATAAAAATACCATGATAGTGTAAATTGTTTCAAAATAATTATTGAATATTTAGGAAAATTAATTTACTCAAGTATTCGTGTTAAAGTTAAAACATTAAATTTGTTACTGCTATTTAAAATAAAATATTTAAATATTTTGTATTAAGTGAAAAATTTACCGCGATCCCCTGTATATAAATAAATTAATAATTTTTGTTGTACACAGCACTTATTTTTTACGATTTTTGTAACATAAGCCGATCCTGTCGTTTATCAAACATTCAATGAATAATCAGTCATATATGATTTTAGAATATTAAAGGTTTAATCAAATTTAACGTTTGCTAGTAATTTAATATTTTTTGTATAATTAGTAGGAACGCAGTATATCAACGTGCGGCAATGATCTTCGCCCCTTGTCCCCCTAACGATAGGCCACTGCGGCTACCATAACAGAAATCGTTGATAAAACGCATATTTTTAAGGAAGCCGACATTTTTTAAGGTACCATTTGGGAAGACGAAACGGAGACCGACTTCAAGCGACAGGCAGCAAGCTTCAAATCCTACCGTGCTAAAACTGCTGGCGTCCCAAATGTGTTTCATATAATTACATGTGTTCAGACGTTTTCGGTCTCCTTCACTGTCGTTTTACGCTTTAAGCCTTGGTTTCTTTAAACACTCCGTCGCGGTGAGCGGACAGTCCGTCGACCGCTGAGGACAGCAATTTTCGCCCGAGGTGGTTTGTTAAAAAATATAGAAAATGATACTTTCTCTATGTCTGTACGTGCTGTTTATGTATTATGAATGTAAACGAAAGGTACTAAAATGGATGCAAATAAATTGTTTGCGTTGTTATTATTGTTGGAAGAGGAAGAACAAGAGGAACTGGCAATTGCAACCGTCAAAGTTTTCAATAAGCCAGTGGATGAGTTGTTTTTGTGTCGCGATACAGAAGGTGCCTTTAATATAACTGTGCAGCGGAGGCTTTTTGGAAATGAAATCAAATTTAGGGAGTATTTTAGACTTTCTACAGATCTTTTTGAATTTGTGTTGAGTTTTATAAAGGACATAATTTCCAAGAAACCTAAAAATAAAGTCATGATGTCATCTGTATGTGTGAATTTGTCACTCATTGTTTTAAAATTAATAACAATATAGTCTCCGCACACGCCGACGATTCCGCTGATATCAAACTCAACAGATATCAACCGTCTCTTCGCGACAAATCAGCGGCATGACGCCGTCCTGCTCAGCTAAGCGGATTCAAGAAAACCATTCCTATTTAAATACTCTGGTTGGATAAAATCGTCAAAACGCGACGGTTGACGGACTGTCCGCTCACCGCGACGAAGTGTTCAAAGAAACCAAGGCTTAAGTCGGCTCGGACGCGCCTTCCCAAATGGTAGTTTTATAAAAAGCCATTAATATTTTACAAAACCTACAGCAGGTATTAAATTTTATGAATTATGAAATCCCCAAGTGAAATGTTAGCAATATTTCAATTCAAATTAATAAAGCATCTCGCTTTGAATTATTACAGCCACTACATCTTTCCAAACAAGTAATCGCATCAAAACCTCAAAAGTTATTCTGGTCATATGTGTGCTCAATAAACAAACTAAACGCGCATCCTTGACTTGGTCTAATTACTTTTGTTAATGTAAACCTACATAGCTAGTATTTACATTAATGTCATTAAAACCTAAATGCCATTGTAGGAATATTATTAGTTAATTAAATAAACTGTAGGTATATTACTTATATACAGTGACAGATTGAGGTCTACAGAGCTACCCAGTCGAAGGGTAAACCAATTTGTATAGATATAATATTAAAATGTATTATGTTATCTACTTATATTATTTTCAATAAAAAAATATATTCCAAAATATACCTTAAAGTAGAAAAATTACCCCCTATAAAGTACTCCCAAATGACTATGCCCAAAAACTCACCTTAGGATGGATAAAATAATGCCATTTTTCGCTTTATTCGCGAAAATGGTCAAAATGGATTCAGAGGACCCCAAAAAGAAAAAAGGCGAAAACTGGAGTTTGAAAAAAATTATAATTTAACTATTTTTATTACCTCCAATTAAATGATGTATTTCCATGTACATAAAAATATTTAAACTATCATTAAGATCTTTCTAGAGCTTGTTGCGTCCGTAATAAGCGGTTTGGACATAAGTCCACGAGTCAAACGCTCCTTATTTTTTAGATGTTCCATATTTACCACACCTAGAACTATTGTTCTGCAATTTTGTGTCACCTTGTTTACTAAATCGGCAAATAAAAGAAACATAATTTCCAGTAGGTATCTAAGAATTATTATTATTCGACAATAATTATCTTTCATCTTGTATATTGAATTAGTAAATGAAATAAACATAATTTTCCATATCTAATTTTAGTAACAGACGTACAAACGCCAAGACTGATGATAAAACATAGAAATAACCAAGTATGGAAAATTGCATTAAATCAATAATTTATATTCAAATTTAAATCAAAAATATATTTTCACATTCTTAAATATAAATTGGACATGCTGTATAAACGTTGTCCTATGTCTCATTCGGTTATAATTTTTTTATACGTAACATTTTTGTACATGCGCAAATAATTCTTACTCACAAAACCAGAAAAAAAGTGTTTACGAGTTTTTTATCAGGATACCTATGAAGATATTTCTTTAGTTTAAAATATGGGCTACTAGTTGTGAATTGACAGTTACCTAATTGAGAACATTTTTAAAAATGTGTGAGAAAAATAAAAAATCAATTCAATAAGGTGAGATTTTTGTTACTTAAAATGATAATAATTAGTCTCTTAAAATTTACTAAAATGTTGAATAATTTGGTTAGATTTGCTTGATTTTCATTCAAAATGTTGACACTACAGACACCAATTTCAAAATATTTTTTACACTATTAGTAGTAGTCCAATCTCATGAAAATGAATATAAAATTGCGGATTATCCACGTTAAAGTCCAGGAATTTAATGATAAAATTTCAAAAATTGCACATCAGATATTTAGACGTAGCTGTACATGGTTGCCAAGCGTTTTGATATGTAAGAAGATATATCCAATTTTTAAATTAATAATAAATTATTATACATTTATTTAAATAAAACTAAATAATTATTTTTATATTTTTTTTTTGTTTAGTTAAAATAAAATAATCTACAGGGTATCTCAAAAAGTTATATTCAAATGGAAAATAGTTTATCTTTCACAAAAAATTATTCTTAATAAAAAGTACTGTATCACTTGAAAATCCATGATCAAATATCAAATTTTGTAAAATATAGGTGATACATGGAGTTTCAGAATGTAATGTACACACGTTAAATGTAGGTGTAAACACTTGGATAATTCCAAATCATGCATTATTAATGGGTCTATCACATTTCATTACCTAGATGAATTTCTCATGAATTTGTTTTTTGCCAAAACTCAACAAACACTCGGTTTAAAAAATTAAAATTTGGTAGGTAGACTCATCTCAATATACCAAAAATAATAAATAGAATCCAGGCCCGGCTTAACAAAATTTTACCACATCTTTCCGCTTCAAAAACAACCAACAATATCTGATTAAATATCTCAAAAGAATAGAAAAAACAAGTTAGGTAGGTGCATTTTGTAAAATTTGCACTTGTCATTTTAGAGGCACTAATTTTTTGATTAAAAATATATTTAAAAATTATTTCTTGATGTTAAAACACGGAAAATATTACTTTTAAAATATCTCAATTTTACACTATTTCAGTCTTGGATTTATTGTTAGAAATAAATTGCAGGACCGTAGTTAGCTAAACTATTTTTTTTTTAATTTATTTTTAAATACCCTGTATAATGAAAAATATGGAAATGTCTAATTAATAGCAAACATTAACAGGCTTTGAGTTTGGTATTTTCTTTTAGATAACAGGAAAAATTAATTATAAACAAAATTAATGATTAATTTTATTTTACAATAAAAATCTAATTAATAAAATATATTCTAACCTAATAATTGTTTAAAATGAAAACAATTCTGCTGAATACATATTGTTGCCCTTTCGACAATTTCTTGGTTTGCCGCTCGAATTGTTTTAGGTTTATTTCGTATTTCTTCATCGGGTGTTGTGGTAAATTTGACCTGTTTGGACTGCTGGAATCTTACAGATTTCAGCTAACTGAAAGGATTCTATTTAAACACTAACATTAAATTATATTACGCCTTCCAATAAAGATATTTTATTGACAACCTTATTTTTTATATGACATTTTTCAACTTTCAAAGTAAAAAAAAATATATCATACAAGGGACATTAAAATTTTATTTGAATATTTCCAACAACTGTATTAATTTCGTCCTTATAAATAAACTAATGATTTTAAAGGCCCCAAAGGTAATAATGGACGGGATTAAAATCTGGTGAGCTTGCCGACTAGTGATAAGCTCCACATATTAGGAAAATTCTCAATTAGAAAGTCTCTTAGGAGTATTCTAAAATGTGGCGCAGCACCATCATGCTGGAAATACATGCCACCAATATTTTAATTTTCCAGTAGTACTGCCCAATGAAGTACATGCGGCTCAATCAGATGGTTGTTTAGCAAACCACATTAAATATTCTCAGAAAATTTATTTTGCGATTGGCTGTCTTATAACTTGAGGATTTTCTTGTGCCCAAAAATGAGAATTCCCTAAGTTGTATACACCATACCTAGTGAATTGTGATTCATCGGAAAATAAAAATATTGATTAAAAGAATTCTTCTATTTTGAAAAATTCAGTTAGAAAAATGTATCCTATTTCATCTCCAATCTCTAGACATGTTGAATGTGAAATGTATCATCTATAACCTATTCCTTTTTAGTGTTCGGAAAATAGTAAGTGTGATACATCTAATGCATTGCTTAACCACGAACACCCTAAAATTTCCCCGGTCAAAAAATGCAACCATTTTCTCAATATATAATAATTTTAACACAGTTTTAAAAGTTATTA